CATATTTAGCATTTATTTTCTTGGTTTATCGTGAAAAGGTAATTTATTTTATTTCCGCGATAAAAGCAACTGTACCGGTACCGACTTATATTGCATTTATAGTATGTTTATTTATACTTATATAATATGGGCAATTGTAAATTCCACCGATTTACAGGTATTCGATTTTAGGGTTGGATTCATAACATATAAATTCAATCGATACATTTTTTTTTCAGGTAAAAAAAATGTAAATTCCACTTATAAGTATTTTTGATTTGAAAACTCATAAACTCCGCAGATTACAACTTACTATTTTTAATATATCTACACATAAACTTTCGACTGACTTATCTAAACTTCATATTAATAACCGCAGATAATATCATAATACCCATATACTAACTACTTTCATACTAACTATAGTGACCCCCATCGATTATTGATTATTATATGTTTTGTTTTAATATTGGGTAAAAAAATATATAAGTATCTAAATATAATAAGTACCTATAACTAATAAATCCGTATATAAATTACGAAGATACGTATTACCTACGTAATGTTAATTATTATAAACAATTATATATTTTTTTCTATTTTCTCTATTTGATTATAATATAATTTCTTTTTAAAAAATTATTTTACCTAGGTATCTAAATAAATAAATATATTATAATAAATGTGTGTCCACATAAATGATAAATGGTGTAATCTTAGATAATCAGATTAGATTTTGATACTTTTATTTCAGGTAAAATAAACGTATCTGTGGAATTTACATTTTTTCTTCAAGTAAAATAAATGTAGGTAGGTACCTGTGTAATTTACACGCACCCTATATAGTACCTATGTACGTGTTTTTTTAATTTATCTAATTTTAAAATTACCCTATTTTAAACTGTGTGATGTGAGTCGAATATACAATTTTTTTGCTATTTGATAGTAAATGTGTAAATCGGGGACTAGCCGATTTGAGTCCAATACGCGAATGAGTCTATTAACTGTGAGTCCAATTAGCGGCGTCCACTGTGTATATAAATATATTTATTCAATATCTTGATTTCTTGATTTACATTAATATGGAGATCACACAAAGGTTATAATTTTTCAATCATATTTTTTTTTACAATTTTATAAAAATTTCAGTCATCATAAATTAAATATAAATAATAATATGTTATAAACTCAAAATCGACAAAATCACTTTTTTTTTTTGCACACAGTGTCAAAGTAATACTTTTATTTTTATTTTTGAACATTTACAACTAGCTTATGAGCCATGATTAATGTTATTAGTTGTTTAACCCTCTATTATATATGTACCTATATGAATATGAAAATGTGCAGATCATTTTGCCGTATTGCAGAGCCACGCATCTTTATAATAATTAAGCAATTTATTAGTCAAAATCCAACGAGCCTATCATTCGTTATTTTATACTAAAAAAAAAATGTTAATCTAAATAGATTTAATCTAAATAATCTGAAGAGTTAAAAAAAAAGTTAAAAAAATCTCAATTTTCAATAAAAATTAGACAATATAGCATAAATGATATATTCGGTATAACTTATTATAATTTACTAAAACTTACTACTGACTACTAAGTAGGATAGAGTTAAGTTATCCATTATACACTCCCTATTAATGTATTACTGTATAATATTCTATTTTCATTTTAGGCTTATAATACAAAAATGCTTATAGCTGATATAAATAATCGATATTTAGATAAAACCACAAAGGAAGAGGTAAAACAATATATTTTTATAAGCAACAACAATTATTTAATTACTTATAATCATATTAATAATAATGTTATACTTTTATAGTTATGCTTATTTTTTGATCAAATATATCATAGTTCATTGGAATTTATTGCATGTGATTTTTTCACATTACACCCTCATCTTATAACTACTGTAAGTGTTAAATTATTAATAGTACCTATCTAGTGGATAAGATTTTAATTTATTTTAACTTTTTTGTTTCCAGTTATTGTTTTGAATTTATTCAAAAATATTATTTAATATTTAGGTACAATATATTATATATTATACATTATGAATTTCATATTATCGTCATTTTTAAATTCTTAAATTCAATTAGTAAGATAGATAAGAAATAAATTTTTGATATGAAGTATATTTCAAACGCTCAGACAAAAATTGATAGAATCAGCAATTAACCGCATAAAAAGGTGTGCAATAGAAATCATCATAGCATAATAAAAAAAAAAACCATTGTAGTGATTATAGACGATTATCTTTCGGGAAATTTTGGAAACGGTTAGATGAGTAGGGTAGAACACGATTGCGTATGTTTGTTGATGTATTAATAGTACTTTTAAAAAGTAATAAATAAACACGATTGCGTATGAAATTGTATGCAACGTTGTCAAATTTGCTAATTTCATCGTATATAAAATAAATAATAAATAAAATGAGGCTAACTAATCAATCAAAAATTTATTAATAAATAAATAAAATCATAAATTATTATTTTAATAAAATAATCCTAAATACATTTTTTAAAAATGCTTAAATTTAAATTTCTTATAGGTTACTAATTTTAAATATTGAATTACATTTCTTATGGATTTTATACTCGTCATAATCCTTCATTGDATTTTGAATTCTATTTAAGTCTTTTTTGCCATTTTCTTTATTATCCCATTATTTACCGATTGTATAATATTGATCTGGTCTTTCAATATTTGAATAACAACATGTGTTGGAGGATGAGAAATGTGAAATTGTCCATTATAAGTCCTATAAAAGCTTTCAGGTCCATTTGTGGTACTTAAAATACATGATAATTTGATTGACAAAAAAATAAATATAATTTCATAAAATAAGATTGATTTTGATTCAAAAACAGGTAAAAATCCAATAAAAAGTAAAATAAAATTTTTAATTTTAGTTCTCTTTATCATGAAACACATTTTTAGCTTACTCTGCTATTTTTTAAGAAATCTCATAAGAAATATGCAAATATTGTAAAATCTCAACTCTGGTCATATATATGTGGCATATATACCGGTATGAAAATTGGCAACAACGCTTAAAATTTTGTATACGTAATCGTGTTGTTAAAAATCAGGTAAAATCATACGGAATCGTGTGGCTTAAAAATGTGTCGCCTATAACGAACGTATGCAATAGTGTTTTACCCTTAGAGTACCTATGTGTAAATTGTTATTATAACATAAATTATATAAGTATATAAATAAAAATAAAGACTTAATATTAATTTTTTTTTTTTTATTAAAACGAAATATACCTTCGGCGACATAGGCCATTGAGTTACAAAATTTAATTTACATTGACAACTATACTATTTAACAGTATTCATATTTTATTTTGTAGTTCTGCCTCTTTTATGAACTTGATGGTAGCTGAAAGTGGATTTAATATTATGACTATAATATACTATACTGTAATCTATAATGATATATACTTATATATTATAACAAATAACTACTACAAAAATTATATTTTTCAAATAGTATAAAATAAATGTATTTATTCAATTTAAGCGTGCGTTTCTATGTAATACTAGTTATTACCTAGTAACCTACCTATGTATCGATTTAACAAATTAAAATAAATGTATTGTTTTTTTTTTAGGCTTTAGCTACTGGAATAACATATCTTGTTATATTATTAAAAGTCAATTAAATGAAATTAATTTCAAATAACAAACATAAATACTTCGTTTCTAAACAAAAGTTATACAGCAGTAAGCTGGTGACATGCAAATAACTAATACAGATATTAAAATACAATATTTCAACGTTAATTAGTTTTATATATTTATTTATAATTGATTCAATGTACTGTACTAAAAATTATGATATTTAAGCGAAATTATTAAAATTGGTATTTAATAATGATCATTATTGTATAATTTAATAAAATTCAAGTCGTGCATTTATTTTTAATCTTTTAAGATTTATTATTAAACATCAATATATTTTATGGATGGTTACTTAATATTTTAACGATGTTTTTTTTAACATTAGGTATATGAATATATGAGTAAAAATTAACATCTGAATGATGATTTTGGACATAAATAAATGATGAATCATCAGTAAAGGTTAGAAAGAGAACTTCGATTCAGAGTTATCAGGTTAAATAACAAGTAGGCATAAAATGAAACTATAACTCTTTCCCGAGGTAATACATTGTTATTTTTGTTAGTATTACTTCGTAATTATTATAATTCTTGTAATAAAGGAAAGTTTATTGTGTATATTTATTACCAAAGTTTTTCTAGTTAATAATAAATTAACAAGCAACGCATTGTTTGAAAAACAAAATCGAGTTATTAAAATATTATTATAATATAGCTATATCACACTGCATAAAGAATAAACAATATAGTTGTTTATGTTTTATTTTACCTCGGTAGCTATACACGACCATCCATATTTTAGATCAACAGTATGACTTTTACTTTTAAATACAAAATAATACAAGTATATAAAAGTGGTTAAACATAGATGGTCATCTGGTAGTCTACGATGTTTCGTTTAATCCCAAAATGGCCTAATTTGTTTTGGAAATGTTTTAGTGTAATTTCTATTGATTTCCGTTACAATAAATGGCAAATCTTTTTTTCTACGTTCTTAATAATATCATCTGTTTATAATTTCTACATGACACCTGCTGTTGTTTGTGCATTGGATGGCAAATGTGATGGTTCTTTATCCACAGTAATAAAGGGACTGTTTATAAGGGTGGTGTCTAGTACTTGTGTGATATCAAGACTAGTTATATTTCTTAAAGGTAATAATATGCTGATTGAGTACAAGAAAAATGTAGACAAATATCACCTATTCAAACCAATGACTAGATTTGAAACGGAAGTATTGAAAAAAGTATCATCTCGAATTGTGATATTATGCTTACTACTAACTGTACCGGTAAATTCTTTTAGACTGTGGAAGATGGCTTATTACAGGGGGGATTTTACAATATGCATTTTTATTTGTATGTACGTTCAGAACATGAGTATGTATTGTGTAGAAACTCATTTTACCGTCTTGTGTTTTATCCTCTACCAAAAGTTCGTCGGGATCAACAAAGATTTAATGGCACTTAAAATCGATACGGTCATGCGAAACAAATACCCGTTCAAGTTAAGAGCAAGAGAAAAATGTGACAAGAACATTAACAATATCGATTTCAACAGAGATATTTTGCAAACGCTGGCCGCCGGTCACTCGATGGCCAATTTCGTCGAGCAAATAAAAGTCAAACACAGGTTGGCTCGTGAAGCAGTGAAAAACTTGAACGATTTTTTTGGAGTCCAATTGGGACTTTCCATGTGTTCGCTGTGTCTGTTCTCCATGTTTGACTTGTACTACCATATTCGAGGAATAATGAATCCGACCAAGTCTAATATACTAATATACGGCTGGATTTTACAATACAGCGTTCGATTTGGGTCCATTACAATTCTAGCACACCTAACATCGAAACAGGTGAATTAAAAATATTTTATTATGAAAGGCTTTTGAATGATAAGACATATTGTGGATTTATTAGATTATTCACAATACAACATTTTAAACGACATAATATGTTAAATTTTTTTTTTTTTTTTTTAATATGTTAAATTTATACAATATTTTTAAAAATGTCATTTATAAATTCCGAGTAATAATATGTTTGTATCTATCAACTAATGGCAATAGATATAATGGTATTTCAAAAGCACATCTAGACCTAATATATCTAATATTTTGAAAATCTACCTAGGTATTATAAAGTTGTGTTTGTAATTTATATAGGTTATCTTATGTTTGTCATATTAAGTAGTATTAATATTGAAAAAAATGTATTTATTTCAATACTAAAATTAATTTAATACGGCGTTCTAGATAGTTGATTTAGCTGCACCACTGTCGAGGGTACATTTTTCCGAAGTCTGAAAATAATATTGTGAAAACAAAAATGCATTTCAATAGTGTAATTATTTTATTATTTATGAATATTGTGCCTGATTACAGCATAAAGTTAAAAAGGCTAAATATACTACAGGAAAGAGAGAAAAGAGAAAAAAGTATAATAATATAAATTACAATCACATAGCACCGTCGATGAGCAATTACATAGCTAAATTCGAACCAAGAGGCTGAAAACTTATGCACCTAAAATTTTCATTTTCCATACAGTTATTGAATTCAAGAAAAAAAGCATCACATATCTGTAGTGTGGTGAAGTGCATATAGAGCGAAAAGTTTCTCGGTTTCAATCCCTCCCCGCCCAAATCGCTTAGAAAAATGTATAGAACGAAGTTACATACTTCGAATGTATACAGCGTAGATATTTAGCTAAACAAGTTAAGCTAATGAAGATTTAATACAAATACAATTTTTTTATATTTCTAAAATGTCAGTATAATAAATTTAGTTTTGAAAATCGTCCCTGCATAAAAATAATGCACACATGTGTTCTAAGAAACGTAATGCATAGCACAGTCGTGCATAAGTCATACATTTAAGTACATTATATTTTACAGTCATGGATAGACTGTTAAAACAATTAAAAATACGTAAGCTAAATAAAAAAAAAAACAATGAAACATTTTGAATTTACTATTATACTTTTCTTTGGTATTGAAGAAGTTATCAGGAAACTGAAAAATGTTAGAGTAAAACATTCTCACTTGACAATTCCCTCATATTTTACCATTAAAATGTTTAATATTTGTTATAGGCATTAAAATCTAAAACACTCATTACGGACATATGTAATCGTTATTTAGACAATAATACAAAAGAAGAGGTACGAAAATGTGTTTCTATTTAATATAAATTTTAAAAATCAGACAACTATTTGTATTTTATTACTTTCAGATACAATTGTTCCTTAACCAAATATGCAGCTGTGCGATTGAATTTACTGCTTGCGATTTCTTCACTTTAAATACTCATCTAATCACATCTGTATGTTGAATATTATGTTATAATATTATAATGTAGAACAAACTTAAACTCCAGAAAGAAATACAGAATATTTTTTAAGTCAGTGATTAATTGGTGGTGCGTAGAGGGAAGGAGGGTAATTCTTCATTAAAAAAAGCATTACAGTAAGGCCTTTCCAATTTTTAAGTTCATTAAATTATTAATTTATATAAAAATATATACACACCAATATGAATATTATTACATATTATAATAAAATAAGTTCTAATAAATGTTAGTATAATACAGCCACTCAGGTTTGTTTAAGTAATACACAACAAAAAATAATGGAGTCTGTAACGGATCCCTAGTGACCCTAGTCGGAAGATCATTTTAGTTAGATGGAAGACAAACAACTTTTGATGATTTATTGTAATAGTAGGAATTTTTTTAGATCCAAACAGTTATTTAATGAAATTTGACAAGTCCAAATAATATTTTAAATGGAATTTCGTCTAAGACAAAATAATTAACTTTGTAGATGAGCGAGATGTGACTGAATGTGGTATGGTCTTCTGGTCGTCCAGTCGCTACGTCTTACGATCGTGTCGTCGACAAACTCCTCTCGTCGAAGAATCCCTAATCCCCACTACAGTCAATATCCACTTATATCTCATATTCATGGTCATAAAGCGAGTGCGTGTGGCTAAACGCGTCACACAAACGGATGTCCCTTGCAAATTTATTTTATAGTGCGATACTCGTTTACGCAAAACACACAATTATTCTTGCTTGACCTACTTAAATGAATATTTATACGAGTAGTGATATATATAATGCCACATGAATTATTATTATTATTAATATAATTTTCTTAACACTGTTGTGCTCTATCACTACGTATTATTATTATATTATTATTATGGATTTTTAGGTAAAGTCACAGCTCGTTACAAGTCTTATATAAGCTATATTTTGTTTAGTCTCTGTGACATGGGTCATTGAGTTTGTGTGGGGGGTTACAGTTGGAACTTGTGCTTTTTTTTAGGGCAGGGATTGGTCACAAAGAACTCGGGTGGTCACCAATCCGGGGGGCTGCGACGCTGGACTATGTTTGACCACAGCACACATACATATTAGTGACTGCGGCCAACCACCGTGCCACACCAAGCCCTAAGTTGTAAAATTATAATTTTTATCATCCATATAAATCCACCACTGGGTATTAGGCATGAGTAGGTGCTTATATTATGTATGTTGTTTGTTTATTATTTTTTAACGATTGTTAATGGTATTTATTTTGTTTGTATTGTTCATAGGCGATTGCTGCTGCCTCAACATATCTCGTAATATTGTTACAATTCAATTAGGTGAACTATTTTTAAATTTAATTTAATATTTAAAATGTTATAATAATACTTAACATAATAATTCCAAAATAGTCATTACATGTTTTGAAACTATGAAATATAAAATTTATGCCTATATGAAACTTTTGAAAATGTTTTCATTTTTTAATATCTCTGGCCTCAATAAACGTATACATTTTATAGATATATACTTACCATACACCGTAAAATTTTTTTAGTAAATATAAAAAATTAAAAACATAATAATATTTATTGTAATCATTATATTTTATTTTAAGATATCTCTATGATGGGAAGGCCAAGCAATAAAGAGAAAATATATTTCAATAAACAATTATACAATTAAAATTGAAAAATTATGTTTTAAATTAGGTAATCGTTATACTTCAAAACAAACGAAGTTGAGGGTCACAGTATTTTACTCAGATTTTTATTTTAAATCGTCAGTTAAGTTATGAACTTTTACATTGTTCGTAAATTACAAGATACTAATATAGTAGTTAGTGGGTTACAGGCTACAGCGATGGTAACATTAATTGACTGGGACCGAATAAAATTATTAGGAGATACTTTATGGTTTATGAAACTTAACCATAAATGTTACAATTGTAGGTTACAGTATTTCCCTATTCTTAAATGAGAATATAATAATAACGCAGCAGTTATAAAAGGAAATAAAATTTAAGTCTTAAATTATTTTAAACGTGTAACAGTGTAAGTATTTTTTTGATTGGTAAACAATAACTTATACAAGCACCTATCAAACAAAACATATTGAAAACGAACATAAGTGCATAACCGCGATACCTAACAAAAGTAAGCAATCAAAAACAGACAGCTGTCCAATCGTTCATTTACAACCTAATATTGTTACAGTAGTAACCGAATCATTTACGAAAAAGGTTTATGCGTTTCCGTAAGAATATTGTTTTTTTTTCTCGCTAAAGGAACATAATGTTACATTCTTTTTACAATAAATTGCATCACAGCATCGGATTAATGATTTCTGCGTTAGTGTTATTGTCGTGTGTTTATAATTACATAGAAGCTCCAAGAATAATGTGCATACTGAATATTTGTAACAATTCGACAATTGTGGTTATGTTGTCCATGTTTCCGCGAGCTTTAGCTATCGCATGCATAATATCTAGATTTACGGTTATGTACAAAAACATAAGTGCGGTAGCTAATTACAAGAAGAAAATCAAGGAATATGAAGTTTACTATCCAATAACCGTTGACAAAGAAAATTCTAGGCGTTTTTTAATTATTGTCGTCGTGCTTATATATTGTATACTGATACTACCGGTTAACATATACAGATTGTACTTGATTTATTATTATTATGAAAACTTTAAAGTAACAGTATTCATTTCACTAATGTACATACAAAATGTGAGCATGTCTATGACGGAATTACAGTTTTTGGTGTATTGTTTCGGATTGTATGTGAAATATCAATCGATCAACGAAGACTTATCTGCGATAAAGTCGGAAACTATTTCAATGAATAGATACCCGTTTGTATTAAAATCCGAAGAACACAAAAGCATCGAAGTGCGTCCATCAGTCCGTAGTATTGAACTACTTAAGATGAGACATCAGTTTGTCTGCCAGTTAGTTAGTGATCTGAACAAAATTTACAGCATCCAATTGGGAATGTCTATATCTGTTTTGTTTATAATGTTATTGTTTGATATCTACGATGTTGTAGCCACCAAATTGATCAAAACTAAAACGCTTTTGTTACTGTACGGATGGCTAACACAGTATATATTCAGATTTGCCATAGTTATACTGATGTCACATGTAACCACGAAACAGGTAATTATTGTTGATTTGAGGTACATCATCATTAATAATTATAAAAATACGTTTCAAACCGTTAGCAAACGATACAATAATAGGTAAAATAACGTATCTTCAAAAGTTTAATTTTCTAATCATCGTTACTTATATATTTATTAGGTAACATAATATAGGTACCTAATAAAATAAGAAAATAAATTATATTATATTAATATTAAGCATTAAGCGCCTACTTTATTATTGTTTAGACAATACCGTTATAAAATAATTTAGTTAAACATATATAGCATACATTTTTTTCTGTTGTAATTAGCAGAAAACTACTTGTAAGTATTTTCGTACTCTTGTAGAATATTTTATTCAATACGTATTATATTTGAATATCTATAATTATATTTAATTTTAGGGACACAGAACAAAATTGCTTATTACTGACATACATAATCGTAATTTAGATAGCAGAACAAAAGAAGAGGTAACATTGCATTGTAATGGCTAACATTTTTTATTAGTAAAATAGTTTTGTTTTATTTATTAGTTACGACTGTTTTTGAATCAAGTATGTAATCATTCAATGGAGTTTACAACCTTTGATTTTTTGACCCTAAATACACATCTCATCACTTCCGTAAGTTTACTGATATTAAACTATTTTAACTAAAGTATTATATTAATTCATTTTTAACGTAATATAAAGATTATTATAATTATTATTTTAGTTTCATAGCAATTTTATCTGAACTTCTGTAAATATTTGTATTTTATCTGTAGTAACGTCTTATAAATTGAATTGGGAATTTCGACAAGGGCCCATCTTGAAATTTTACAAAAATAGATTTCAGAAAACTTAATGAATCGCTTTTCCAATAAAATTTCACTTCAAGAATAATATATTACAAGAGCTTAACATTAAATAATAGTCTGTCATTTTAGAAAAAAAAAATGGTTCAATAAAAACAAAATTAAAAAGACAGTCAGTTTTTTTGAGTTTCCTAAAAAAAATTAATTTTCTGATATGAGCGCTTTTCGAAATTCCCAATTCAATTATAAATTATGTTCATGTTATAAGTTTAAAGATGGTATATGTAAAAATGTCATGTCATTTAATATTACCTAAGTCCTAAAGAGTATACATGATACACATGTACGATGTACATATACCTTACCTATATAGCATTGAAACCTATAATAATTTTAAGCGTCTAAATTTATTTAAACTTCTTATAAATGCATACTTTTATTTTTCAGGCCATAGTCGCGGGTACAACTTATATTGTTATATTATTACAGTTCCGTTAAATAAAGAAAAGCGAAAATTATACAAACTCATCTTGTCTCTTACTGTAAAAAATTATGTTTATTATTTCAAAATAGTTAATCATATTTTTATAGTATTTTATAATATCAAGAAAAAATTATTAAAAAAACTTTACAAAGAAAATACCATTAATATGATGTAATTAAATATTGATAACTATTCCTTGACCTTTAAGGTTGGTAAATATTTATAATGTGTACGTATAAATGATGATGACAAACCACTTTTTAAAATAATTATAAGTAAACAAAATATGTCCATCACATTTCCTGTGCGATTCGTCCAATAATTATATTTTATAACACTTAATTTGTTCACCCCATTATTTTTTTATTATTATTATTATTATTCGGGATAATGTTTTGAAATTTGCTTATAATGTTCAAGTTATATTTCAATACATTTTTATTCAGTCTAATATTAGTATACTTTTTAGTTTTAGCAATGATATGTGTAATGAATATAAAAAATGCATCTGCCATCATTTGTTCGTTGTCTGAATGTCAAAATTCAGTAAAAACAGAGGTAGATATTCGTTATGTTCTCCCGATATATTACCATTGCATGCCTCTTATCCAGAATCGCGATTACCTATCTATAAATGTAAGAGTAATTTTCCGAACTATGTGAAAAAAGTTGATGAGTATGAATTATACTTTCCGGTAAATATACCTCCCAAAAAAGAAATCTTTGTTTAATTGCTATACCTATTATATTTGCATACATCATCATCATATTGCCCATAAACATATTAAGCATCTATTTAATTTACTCTAATTTTGGGAAGATAATCACAATGTTTTTTTATATAATGATGTATTTACATAATTGGAGCATTTGTTCCACTGAAAAACATTTTATTGTACGTTGTATTGGTTTGTATTAAAAATTCCAGTCGATCAATGAAGAAATCGTTACGTTAAATTTAAAAAATATAATCAAAAACAAATACCTAGTTATGTTACAAAACGAAAGACGAAGTCGTAACAATACATTATTTATTGGTTTGGAAACCTATGGCAATTCACCACTTTCAATGTTCAATTTAGCCAACCGAGTTGAACTATACTCAGGATCAAGCATCAGTTTGTCCGAGTCATCGTTTTTGAACTCACAAATTGTACGGTATTCAATGAATAGGATTGTCGATATATTGTCTGTTAATTATAATGGCATTATTTGATATTTACGGGGAAGTGTTCGTTGAATCCAACGTATAACCAAAACGCACGTTCTATTCTTTACGGATGGCTGTTACAATACTTGTTCAGATTTTTTGTGATCGTATTAGCATTTAACATAGCAAGTTACTATGCTACTATGCATTTTCATTAAATGTAACCTAACCTAACCTACAATATATGGCTATCAGGGCCTGATTAACCAATATGCTAAAGCCTAGGGCGCCAAATCGGTCAACGTTAAATTTGGGGCGCCACAAAATAATGTTTAGGTAAAAATCAACCCTAGCCTACTGGCGACCAACACCTTAATCAGGCCCTGATGGCTATATGTATGTGTATTCAAGAACGAATAAAACTCCCTATTAAATAATTAATATTAATTTAATGAATAAGTACATACATGATACAGGTCATTAATTTTTAAAGAAAATTAAGTGTTGAGTAATAATATGGGTTTTACCAAAAAAAAAAAAATAGGTTGGTGTACGTATAAAAATTATTTATTTATGAATGACTCTTTGTGTTGTGACAAAATTGCAATTTTGTTTTATTTATATTGGCAATTATCTTCTATGAATAGACTTTATACAGGGTGTCTCACGAAGATCTTATTGAATTTGAAATATAACTAGCCACATTATTTTAATTATTTTTCTCTATTGTCGAGAAATCTCTACACTGGCATTGCTTGGAAATTTTTTGATAATAATTATACGATAATTTATTTAATTTATAGTTAATTATACAGTTAATAATTTGTTTGTTATCTGATTGCATTTTTTAAATTTTAGGTAAGTGGGTTAAAAAAGATTATAACTGATATAAACAGTCGTCAACAGATAACAATACAAAAAAAAAGAGATATATACAGTTCAATTTGTTTTTTTATATTACCTAAAATATTTTGATATCTTTTAACGATTTTTTCAACTGTTTTAGTTACAAATATCTTAACTCAATTGTATAGTCGTCCAATACAATTCACTGCTTGTGATTTTTTCACACTGAATATTCACTTCATAACTTCTGTAAGTTAACATAGGTTTAATACGTTATATTTGAAATCGTTTAAATTTATAAAATATTTAATGTTGAATGTATCAATTTATAAAGAATAATATAGGATTCAATAATATTAATAATAATAGTTGTAAATCTGGCTTTTGTAACAAAATTGTAACATAAAATATTTTCATTACCATAAAAACATGGAAACCCAGACAACATACGAGTGTATTTTCCTCAACCTTTTTTAATTATTTGATTAAAATTAACTATTGTGTATATAATTATCAATTAATAATAAAAATAAATCATTTTTTCTCATATCTGTTGCTTTATTTTTCTTTTGCTATATTATTACTGATACAACTTATCTAATTTTATTATTACAGCTACACTGAACAAAATAAGGACACATGAGACATCGTAATTACTTATTGTAAATAATTATAATTAAAATAATTAATAATTATTTGACAGATGCATTTAAGTTTAATTAAAATTAGATACCTAATATAAATTTGAATAAAAATTAATTGATATAAAGTATAAAATTATGTACAAATTATTATATAATAGTATTAATTAGTTCATAAAAACATTATATCTTGGCTGGTATCAGTTGTAAATTTATACAAAAAAAGTTATTTAAAAAAATTATATGGATATAATTTATGTTTATCTGGGCTGTATAGTTTATATTGTAACAATATCAAAGTATCAAACCAAGTGTGGAGAATAAACTTGTAGAAACCTATCTAGAATCCCTGAATCAAAATGTTTGTAAGCGTCTCCAATTTTTTGATCTACCTGTCTATTATTATTAGTCGTATTTTTAGATTTTATGGATGATAATCTTTTACCTTCATTTCGAATTTTTTGAAATTTATGTTCATCTTCGTCATGTACAATTTTTTTTATAGTTTCAGTGCTGTTATGCTTATACGAACACTGACCATTGTTGATTATTTGAATTATATGTATGGGTGCAGATACGTTTTTGTGGTTTTTAATCGTTTCTAGAATCTTTGACGGATTTGTATTGACCGAATAATCAGTAATATCCGAAATTTCACAGTCCGTTGAAGTACGCGTTGAACCCAATATTGAATCTATTTCAGGTGTAGGCTGTATGACTGAAAGATTTTCGACTCCGGGCTCATTTAATAATTTAAAATCACCAGTTAATAACTTTGTAAGGGGTATAGCTGAGTGCCGACCATCGGGTTTTTCGATTGGTATAAACATTTCGGACACATACTCGGAACCATTATTATCAACACTTGTTTGGCTTACCAACGGTATCTTAAATACGCCATTGGCTATTTTAACTTGCGAAAGTACTCCAAATCTATTCGGTTTTGGATATTCGTCATTGGGATTCAATGCATCATATTTATAATTATTCGACGTATCGTTATTAATCGGAACATTATTTGATGTATTCAAAACTGGTTGAATTTTTTGTTTTTTGAAATCAACCTCGAATTTATTATTTTTTGGGGTATCCTCATAGTTTTCGTCTTGTTCTGAGCGATTGATCGGCAACGATTGCGACAGTTGTTCGTCTAATTTATTATGATTTTGGTTTCTATTTGAAGATTGTTTGTTGATTGGGCTGCTGATGTACTGAGAATTTTTATTTAAAATTTTAGCCTTTCCTCCCGCAGGTCCGTGAAATAAAATTGGCTTCAAATAATCGTTTGTGTATGGTGCGTGTTCATCATGATCATGGTCAAGATTTATATCTTCTAATTGATTTTCTGGAGGATAAGATTTCAACAAAAAATTCGAATCAGCATCATGCTCGGATTTTACATTTTGTTTAGTGTTAGTTTTCTTAATAAAAACTCGGTCTGTCGGAGATTGATCGCTAAGAATATTTTTATTTTTTAAAGTTAAGGTAAGTGGTTTGTCAAAAATATTGTGTTTGGTTTTAGCTATTTTGTCTGAAAATAATGGCACTGAATTTGGTTTTGTTTTTGCATTATTTAATTTTAATATTGACACATTTTCTTCATTTTTTAACTGCTTTGGTGTGTCTAAAGAACTAATCGTTTTTGGATTTTTGATTAATAGCGCTGGTTTAGATATTTTTGTTTTTGAAACATTTATTACAGTATTATTATTTTTACCGTACATAGGACTTTTTGTCGAATAAATATTTACAATTTTATTTTTAGGTGTCATTTGAATTTTGGTGCTTTCAATAGATTTGCCAAAGGTCGAAGGTCTTTGTAGTTGAACAGGGTCTAAATTATAAGTACTTATACTATCTTTTCGAGGAATTTTATTTTCTTTGAGATTTTTAACAATACGAGTGTTTGGATAAAATGAAGTATAATATTTATCTGATTCTGTGATCAATTTTCTTGGAATATTTTTTGAAGCATTTTCGTCATAATAATTGTCTGTACGTTTTTCTAAATTTATTTGTGTAGTATGAGGTGAATATCTGTTAATATTTTTTATTGGTACTTGTGAMAAAATCCTGGGAGTAGCTAATATTTTTTTAGTTGTCATATAATTAGTATTATCGTAATCATCAAACTCACTTGTTGTATATATTTTTGAGTTTATCGGTTTATCAAGTTCCATTTTTTCGATAAGATGTCCCGGACTCTGTTTTTCTATTCTTTTAATTGATATTTCTGGTGTATTTTTTAGTTGAGTTCGACTAATAATCTTATTCGGCGTTTGAGCAGAACTCTTGGTATAAATATTATTATTTTTTATTATTTTATCCATATTATTGTTTTCCCTATCGTTATTTCTTACAGAAATATCATCGTTTTGTGGTAAACGTTTTAATTTTGTGACAAATTGCCTTTTATTTATCTGTGGTAGCTTGTCGATTAAAGACATTCTCTTATTATTAATTTCTTTCACTTTGTTGTTATTTTCATCGTTATCCCTTTTTCTTTGACCCGTCAGTTTTAATTCGGGAATTATGGAGCTAAATTCAAAATTTTTTAAATCAATTTCTTTATTTTTATTTGTTTTACTATCTTTCATGCCTCGTGACTGACTATTATCAGTATTTAACGCTGATCCTTTTAACAAGTTTAAATTTGATTCTTTAAGATTATTTTTCTTTTTACTTTCGTATGTTGCTTGTTCTTTCCCCGAGAAACCGAGGTTTAAATCTTCTTTGTTTTTTATTAAATGGTCTTCATTATTATTATTTTTAGATTTATTTATTTCACCATCTTTTTTGATTAATTGATTAGAACGTTTGTGACTATTCATTTTCAAGCTATTTGTTGATGTATCTGAATCAGTTTTTATTTCAGTGATATTTGTCACTATTGACGAACTTAATATATTTTTGATGATTTTCTTATCACAGTTACAATTCACATTATTATTATCCAAGGAACTATTTTGTATTTCGTCTACTGCAATTGTGTCAACTTCCGAATAATTTGTGTTTGGATTATTATCATTAGATTCTGTAATTTCATCTGGGTTTTGTATTTTTAATGTCTCATTTAAATCTGATGTCAGTTCTTCAGTCGAATCAAATAATGTCGCCGCTGTCGGAAAATTATTTATAGATGGTTCGAATTGCTTGTCTTGACTTTTATTATTCTCGTCGTAACTCGAAATATTATCTTCCTTATTATATTGATCTGTATGCTCTTTGGTTGTTAATTTATAATTATCATCAATTATTCTAGAATCTGATTTATCTTTTGATGTAGATGATACAACAAAAGGCGTAATAGTTTCTCTAGAGAATAAAAGGTGTTCATTTTCTTCCAAGAGTGGAGATGTAGTTGAAATGTATTTATTTTCTTGCAAAGTAACTACTGATAAATCTTTTAACTTATTAGAAATATTATCATCAGTTTCAATAACTTGATTCTTTGAATCGTTTAAATTCAATTGTTTTAAGTCATTTTTTGAAGTCGATTCATTTTTATTATTAAATCCACTCCTACTATCATTTTCTATTGGTTTACAATCCTTAACCTTATTTTCTGTTATTTTATTTCTTACCCAATTTCCATTTATAAAAGTATTTTCTGGACTAGATTCAAGTTTATTTATTATACGATTTCCTTTTATTTTTTCTAATTTAACTATCACTTCTTCAGAAGAAGAACTATTTGTATTTGGGTTTTCAACAAATCTATTATCCAATATAGTTGGTTTGATAATTTTTTGTAGAGGTAGGTCTTTAATTAAAGTAGATTTAATATTATTTGGTTTATTCATTTTATCAATTACTTGATTTAAAATTTTAATAAAGTATTCATCGTCCATTTGTTCTGACTGTAGATACTTATTATTAAAATTATTTTTAGGTTCCCATGAATTTATATTTGATTTTAAAATTTCACAATCCTTACATTTWAGCGTTTGTATCATTCCGTCCTCGAAATTTGTTGAAAGTAGTTTTTGAGGTTGCTGATGATTTATAGAACCTACATTTTGTGTAATTTTCTTAGTACATCTTTTTCTTTCTTGTGATTCGTTTAAATTTCTTGTTATTGGTCTAGGATTTTGTTCTATTTCTCTATGTAGATTTGAATCATCTATTAGACCATTGACTTTTTTCTTTCGATTGTCATTATATTTTCCATTATCGTAATAATCATACATATCTTCATAGTTATCAGGTTTTAAATCTAATATTACTTTAATATATCGATTATATTCTGTATCTTCATTATAATATTTATTTGACACTTGCCTCGGAAAACGATTATTTTGAGAAGAAGTTACAAAAGACGTAATAGGTATGGTATTGTTAAGCCGTGTGGAATTATGTGCATTCAAATTGTTTGTTCTATTGAAGTTGATTAATTTCCTGAAAAATAATTAAATTATAAACAAAAATATTATATAATTATATACAATAATAGGTAAAAGTCAGGTTAAAACCTGAATCAACTATTAACCTAGTAATTAAATGCTTACTAAGAAACCTATAATTAATTAATTATAACCATAGGTATAGTTTTAATAAATGCAATGCTTTAAGATTTTAAATTAAGCCACCGCATTGTTTGTAAAATATTTGCTTTTATAACATAATTAAGGTACCTATCTATAAAGGGACGACTACGAATTGGTTCCCGGGTTGTCTAAAGGTAACATATGAATTGGTTCCCGCGAGCTTTCATGATAATACAAACTTGTTAAATTCGCTTTTAAAATTATTATGATATATTCAACTAGAAACGATATTTCCTTCCCATTTATTCAGACTTAGGACTGTTTAGAATTCAAATAAGTTAAAATACTTCAAACACTATCTAGAATATCTAGGTATGGTTAAAAATGTTGCTTAGTATAATATATTAATATATGCATAATATACGATACATATGTATTTTTCAATAATAATAATTATGCTTATAATAAATAATAATAATGTAAATATAAGTCATAATAGGTATCTAAATAATATTAGAAAAAAATTAGTGTAGTATGAATTTACAACACACGCATAGAAATAAAAAAACTGCGTAAAAACAGTTATGGATAAACCATGTTCTGTTTAATTTTATTGTTGAAACTCAAAAATGAATAAGTATTAAGACTTCAAATGTTCAGCAACTATATATATTAGAATTTTAAAATTGGCTATTGTTTAGCTACCTATGTATATATATTTGAAATTTTTTCCCTTTTTGCGATTTACAATATTTTTTGTCAGTTATTTTTAAAAGCACGAGTATGTTATTATAGTTCAAGGTTCTTTATTCTTTATTGTTTTTACAAAAATCTAAAAATATCTAATGATATATAAACACAATTTTATATTCTGAGCATCATCATCTTCAAGGGGTTTTCTAATGAAAATTTTAACTAATTTTTACATTTGTGAGTAAAAAATAGATATATCTTAGTATACACTTTTAAAGTAGTAGGAAAAAAAATATGAATATTGGTTTACATTTTTAATATTATTATCAAAATATTTATTTAGAACCTGAGTTACCAAAAAACATACAGACTATCTCAGCTCAGATCGCTTTTTATTGAATTTATGACGTAGAAAGATTTATCATTGAATTCAAATTACATCCACTATACGGTATTTACTAAAAAATTGTCTATATTGCGTTTTGCGTGTCTTATTATTTTTAACCAACATAATACAATTTAAAAAATATATACACCTACTTTAATAACAGATAAATAAATTATAAGATATTCTGAGAAATTGATAATCTATACGCTTAGAATTATCTTTCGTATAATACTTCATTTTACTTTAGAATATGCGGGTTGACTGCAGGGCTAAGCCCTTTTGTACATTAATAAAACTAGTATATTAGGTTCACAAGTGAAAGAGAATAATAAAAAAATACAAAAATTATTAAAGAAAGATACACGAAGAAGTTAAAAGTGTTGTGTTATTGTTAAGTATTTATTATAATTTATTACTTAATTTAACACATGCATTACAGTCACTAGTTACTAACTGAATTACGGAGTACGTTATATTCGAAACCTATTATATTTTAGAGTAATTCCCTAAATTATTTGTTATAATTATATATATTTATGCAAGTATAATAAGAAATATTTAAAATAAAAAATATTTTTACTTGTTCAAAAATGTTGTTTTCATCTTAAATGTTGAATGATTGTTTTCAATATTCATAGCAGGTTTAATTTGTAACACATTATTTAATACTGATGTTGAATTTTCAGCCAAAATCAAAGTAGAGAAAAAAAATCCTAGGACTGAAAATTGCTGATTCATTGTTTCACCTATAAAAAATTAAAATTAAAAATTTTTAATAAATACGGTAATAAATAAATATATAATACGATAGATATAACTAATGACATGTTGCGTAAAAATATATTAATGATTCATTAAAATTTTAATGTAACAATAACAAGAGTCTAAATCTTGTTTATATAAGGGACCATTTTAAAGTATCTAACGGTATCTTTTCTTAGAATCTAGGGCATAAACAACGGCCACTTGCCTGCCCAAATTTCTCTGTCACAGGATTCAAAATTTCAAACCAGTGACAGTGCGGCGCATATTGGTCATCTCTGCATTAGTCTACTATCGGCCACCCATAATGTAAATTTAAGCACAGGCTAATAGCCAAATCATCGAATGAAAATAATTAAAACATAAAAAAAGTATTTTACAATATTAATATATTGTATTTGTATACAGAGTGTCCCGCAAGTATTTACCCATTGCGATATCTCCCGAAATAATAGAGATATCAAAATTCTGGTTTTGTTATAAGACTCGCAGGGATAAGAACTACAATTATTTCATTTTTAGTAAAAATTAAAAAAATATATAAGGAGAATTTGAATATAAATATACGTTTATAATTAATATTTTAATCTTAAAAATCTACTCAAATTTATAGCAAATAATAGTGCGTATAAAATGTTACATAAAAGTGAGTGGAAGCTATTAAACCTACTGATTTACATAATAATCTTTGTGATACTATTCAACTGACATAAATATTTCGAAATGCCAGATATACGTGTATTAAACACTATTAATTATTATTTTATAAATACTAAAATTCCTAATATGAATACTGAATAGTTTCATCTAGTATAATTTGATTTGATTTTTAAAAAGGAACGCAGATTCGATATAGGCTATGTTTATTTTATTCACATGCCAGAAGTTTAATAATAAAAATCATAATACTAACTCGTTTTTAACGAGAGTTAAGATCCAAACTTTACTTTTACTTGAACCAAATTTCGTTTTTAGATAAATAATTTACTATACTTTAAATAATATTCTACATTGAAATAGAATAGTACTACTTTAACCTAACCTAAACTGAAGAAAAAAAAGCGGGTAAGTGGGTACCACTCTGCTGTACATTAGGGGGAGGAGTAGACCTCTGACTAGGGCAGGTTAAATTTGAATGCAATGATAGGTATCATTGTATACGAAAAACGATTCTGAACGGAGATGATTTGTCGGTCTAGGATATATTATATTTAAATATTGTCATAATATATTCTATTTTGAAACAAATATTTTATTTTTCAATTAGGACGAATTTTGCATAAGGCATGGTTAATCAATTTTTCCAAAAACATTGCATGTAGTTATCATGATTCATAATACCTTATATTATCATAGATATAGATACGCCTGGTTTGAAGATAAATCGTTATCGTTACGCGATTTCATAAAAATTTAAAACTCAAACGTTCAAAACATTTTTCCTATAATGACGTTTCAAATTTTCTCTATAGCTATTTGAAGAAAAACTTATGGAAAACTTAGTGTTGAATTTTTTAACCTTAGGTATAAACACAAAAAAATTTATGATTTTTCAGCTTCAAAATTACTTGCAAATTTTCGCATTTTCGACAGATTTCGTAAAAATTTGAACTATAAGCGCTTATAAAAAAAAATTGTGCCTATGTATTCCTATAATTTTTTAATCACTATAAGAATAACTTATAAGGAACTTTGTATTAAATTTTCAAGTATTTTGATGGGACCAAAAAATTTTATCGACACTTAAAAAAAAAATTTTCAGACAAATTGAAAATTTCAGTCGTCTATATAAATATCTCAAAAAAAGTCAAAATTTGAAATTAAACTGTATATAGATAATACTAAAATAAACATTTGGTGAAAATTTCAAGTATTCACAGTGATTATTTTTTGAATTACAGCAATATAAAAAAATCGATTTGGTCGAAAACTGGTTTTGCATAAAAATTCTCGATTTTTTGATAACTGTTGGAAAATGTTTACTTTTAATGCACCAACGATATTCACTTTTCCATCAGAAACCTCCCCCAAAGTTTGAAATTGAAGCATTATTTCGACTAGTTATGCTGTACACAGACGCAAAAAAAAAACAAAAAAAAATTTAATAATTTTTGTAAAAATGGTAACAGATAATCATAAATCAAAATAATTATACAAAAATGGCTTTATGCTTTATTTATTTATTTTTTTAAATATGTTTATGACAATTTGTCATAGCATGGATTTTCTTTCAACATAATATACTATCTACATTTATTTTGATGTAAGCTAGTATGCAAATGAATAATTCAATAATCTAAAATGAATGCATTTTTCCAATGCTGAATGTATGTTTTATTTTATTATTTATTTATCAGGTAAGCATATCATACCTTCACAATAACAATAATAATATAATTGTTACATACATTCATTCTTGAGTCATTAAACTTGTTCGTGACAACTACATATACTGTGTAGGTAAAATAACAGAATAACATAACAATGAACTAAGGAAATTCTTTTAAATTATAAACATCAACAAATGTTACACAAACATTTCACTCTACATCATAATTGATAACAGATAGGTAGGTTGCCTATACCTATAGCTACTAATTAAGTTCAGAAAAAAAATTAAATTTGATCGTACAGGTATAACACACAAAAATATTTTTATTACATAGTATTTATATACCTATAATATATTATATTTTTCATGCACTTTCGAAAGAAAGGTTGTTTTCAGCACGTAGGTTACAATTAATTTGACACCCCTGACCCATAGGTTAGATTAAATTTTAAATTTATGCAAAACTATTATTGACATTAATACATTACGAATATTTGAAATTTAAATTTTCATAACTAAATTATATAGGTATCTATAATTTTGTATTGAAACTTTAAGAGAATGTCAGCACTCAGCGCACTATTTGTCTATCTAGTCCACACTCAAAATCGACAAAAATAATTTACGCAGAATCGCTTTTTCTTTGTTTATAAATTATCTTAGAACAAAATCACCCATTACAAAAATGATAGAAATAATATTTTTGAGATAATGAAATATCGATTTATCTAAATATTGTATCAAAAACATTTATATGTTATTTAAATTTATAACATTATATTGTTTATTTTTAAAATCGAATGCAAAATTAAAATAACAATTAAATATAATATCGATATGTCACTCCCCCAAAATTCTTTTTGTCTTTTTTTAATGGGTGATTTTACTCTAAGATTACTTAAAAATATAAAAAAAATGATTATGCATAAATGCGTTATGTCTATGTTGCGCTAGGGCCAGAAAGAAAACAAATAATGCGCTGACATCTTCTTAAAATTTTAATGAAAAAGTTTTAAAATAAGTCTGAAAGTCTAAAGATGTAAGAACATTTTGATAATTTCCTAGACAAATGTTAAGTAGACAAATATTAACAATGATGATTTCGTTAAGTTTATTAATTCAAAAGTCCATGTTGTCAAATACAGTTATTGTTATTGTATATATCAGTTACTTATACTGTAATATTGTACTAGTATATGACTAATAACTAATATTATAACTATTATTCTAGATATAATAACAAAATAATTAATAATAATAATAAGATGTATAAAAATATCTAATCATGTATTATTCTGTATAATATAATGTTCGTCCAACGGCCAACCGCGGACTTTGTTTTGTTAATAAAAAAAAAAATAATAGTAATAATAATATGTGTGTGTGTGTACAGTAATGAACAAGTAAATCCATCCTATTATTATAGTGATCGAGCAAAACCATCGTGTATATAAATTCAAATATTAGATGGAACATTAACAATATTTATTGGATTTAATTTTTCTGTCAATATAAGAACCATTTACCATTTTAATGGCAACTAAAAAAAATTACAAAAAAATGTTTAGTATCAAATAGAAAATTTTATGTTTTGGATATTTTTACCGAAATAAAATAAGTTATTAAAGATTTTGAATTTGTTGCGCAATTTTTTTTCTCACTTTATTTACGGAACTATAATATTTTTAGAACTTTTTTGCCGATTGAAACAACTACCCCTACAATAGTGACTATCATAATAGTATAACTATGATAAATAATAATGCACATTAGTACATACTTATACTTGTGTAGTGTCTTATTAGTTCTATATCTATATGGCCAGATGAACTGATAAATTCAAATTTTAAAATTGTTTACCCATACCTTACTCTAAATAAAACATGTATCTGAGATTAAGAACTATAAAATGTGTACATTACGCATGTCTATTATAAACATAATATGATACAAATAACAAATAATCGTTTAAAATGTCTAACGTTCAAAAAATTGTGTAATTATAATGATCTTACCGCGTTATATGACGGATCGGCAGGCGGCAGCGCAATTATTACACTCCACAGTTTGAACACGATGTGAGAAGTCTTCATAACCGACTACAAGTCATCGGAATATCGAGACTTGAACATAATAACAATTTGGCGAAGAGTGTGCTGGGAAGTGATGCGACGTAACGTCTAGTGAAATTATATTATAAACACAACAATATGCAAGACAACGTATTTGATGCGTACATCTGAAGACGATTTTTCTGGTGCTGTGATTGTTTTGCAAACATCATAGATATTCACGTTTGTTACCAGTTAGCAGTTATGAACAGAAAAAAAATTACAATCCACATACGGAGGGTCGAAACGATAAACAGTAATAATATTATGTGGTACACTAAGAATAATGTATACATGTGTGTTGTGTATATAAGATTATTATATAATGTATTAGGTATGAATATTGTCGAAAATCCAAGAACTTGCATAAATATGTATATGATGTTTTTTTTTATTTTTAGCTAAAATCACATCGAACAATATTATTTTACGTAACAATTTGCAGTCTATTCAATTGACCACGTCATATTGGTTCATGACGTTTCTCGAAAATTATTATTTGCTTTTTGGATATATTTTAATACCATCAATGTTAGACGTTAGTGTATTATTTAATACTCGATAAACAAAATTCGACAATATAATAATAATAATTTTTAATTAATTATTGCAGTTCATTTGTTATTACTATGAATAGGATTTATATGCAATATAAAAATAGTTAAGTAAAATGTACAATTATTAATTTTCTTAGAATTTGCTGATAAATAAATATGATGCGATAAGAATAAAATTAAATATTCAATAGATTTTCCAATAATTTCAAAATATATTTTAGGTATAAAGTAAATTAAAGGCATCTTATTAAAACATAAAAAAAAAGCGGGAAATCATCGTGAATGTCGCTCTGCTGTACAGAATAGATTACAAGTGGATTAGGTACTGTAATGGAGGGAATTAAATTTAAATCCAATGATATTATATCATTGTATACGAAAAACGATTCTGAGCGGAGACGGTTTATCTGTCTAGGATATAATATTATAGATTATTAAAAATTTTCAAATCTTAGATTTAAAAAGAAAAATGTCTATGGATAGATTTATGGATAGATCTGAATAAAGCTTAAAATAATTTGCGAACTTTCGTGATTTTTACGTATGTTGTCAAAATACAAACTTTGAATGCTTGTAAAAAAAAATTGTGACTACCTATATGTATTTATTTTATTTTTCAACTGCTATTGTAAAAATATGTTAAGAGCCTTGTATTAAATTAACATTATAATAATTATTCATATGAGTAGTGATATATTTATATTTATATATATATAGACGCACGACTATCGAAGTGGCATGCTACTGTATTCTTATTATCACAGAAGCTACCCACTACTATTACTATTATTATATTAGTATTATACCTACTATTATATCTTTTTGAGAATTTGTGTTACACGATAAACGTATGTAGAAATGCCCGCTTGAATTGAAGAAATCTTCCTGTAAAAAAGGTGCTCAGAACATACATTAGGGTTTTTGAGAATTTGTGTTACACGATAAACGTATGTAGAAATGCCCGCTTGAATTGAAGAAATCTTCCTGTAAAAAAGGTGCTCAGAACATACAAATGTCATTAATGTCAAATATATACTACTTAAATGACTGTTCAATGTTAAAATAATCATACTAAACACTTATATATTTAAAATACTTACACCTTAAATATCTATCCGGTATGGTCTAGTGGCTAGGATACCTGGCTTTCACCCAGGAGGCTCGGGTTCGATTCCCGGTACCGGAATAAATTTTTAGCTCATTTTTGTATTATTTTTTTCTCAAATCCTCCTTCTGCACAGTGCACCAACTATTTATTTTAAAATTACAAACAAAAGTAAATTAACTTAGGTTGGTATATAATATTTGGTTGCTAGGTACCCATTTGTTATTCATTAGGTACTAATAAATTATTATTTATTACCAGTCCCTTTCATTCCAGAACTCATTTTTCTGAACTTACCAAAACATTAATCATGCTAAAATATTTATGCGGGTATGAACGCGGGACCAATTCAAGATCGATTGCTGGAGGAAGATGCTTCAAAAATAAGCATCACGTATAATTCGCACCTTATGGAAATTTCTGCTGCAAAAGAATCTACAATCAACAATAAAGCCGGATGGATAAAGGAAGAAGCTGACTTCAAATATCAAAAACAAAGTCAGCAAGTAAAATCAGCCAAGCAGTCAATCACGGAAAAATCAAAATGTGGAACATGCGGTCGATCAAACCACACACAAAAAGAATGCCGATACAAGGACTATACAGTTGTAATATTTGCAATATCAAAGGTCATTTGGCACCTATATGTGTGAATATAAGAATAATAAACCAAAATACGGTAACCGCTCACACAATAAATTCTTATCCGAAAATGCAGGTAAAAGCTCGAATGAAAATATTCATGATGACACAATCGCGTACGATTTATCTGACACTTTTTTCAATATGATTGAAAATAACTTTCAAAATAAAGTATGACCGTACATTATCAATTTATTAATTGAAAACAAAGATATAAAAATTTGAAATAGATACGGGGGCTGTACATAGTGTAATGTCAAAACAATTATATGATACAAGTTTTAATAATTTAACTTTATTGCCAAACGATATTTCACTACGAGATTACGTCGGAAATGACATAAGCCCAATAGGAAAAATAATAGTAAATACTAAATATTTGAAAAAGTCTTTTAAAATGTGTATTTACGTTATAAAAAACGGAGGACCACCATTAATTGGTAGAAATGATTTAAAAATAATAAACTATTCTCCCATTTATAACACTGTAAATGTAGACGAAAATATAGAGAACATATTAAACAATTTCGAGCATTTGTTCAAAAATGAAATTGGCACCTTTAATAAATACCAAATATCGCTAAACATTAAAAAGGGGGCAATACCCAAGTATATAAACGTAATAAACGTATTTTTCCCCCTATTACTGACCCACGCGTAACATAGAAAACTGTATCTATAAACGATTTGATCAAAAAGTTGCATATTATAACACCGGATTATAGATGCATAGGTTTTGGTTATAAATTTCTTATTTCTTATTTCGTGGAACACTGTACACAGTTTGATAATAGACGGTTGGTCAAAAAGCTTACTGTGTTTCACGGGATGAGAAATTTATAACCAAAAACATATGCATACAGTATAAAAAATCATCACTCCATAATCCTCTTCCGGTGATATCTCAATATCGACAGGTACGGCGAGGGGGTGGTGGTCGGTTGTCGGTTGTCCCGCGATTCCGGTTGCTCGAGGTCCGAGGATGTAATATTACCTCCGCGGTACCACGGAATCTGGGAGGGTTGGGCTCGTCGCCTCCTGCTGATGTAGATCTGGTGTTGGCTGAGGAGGTAGTTGTTTCGGATGTGGGTGGTGCCCGTTTCTCTCGCAAGCGGTGTTGTTGTAAATTTTGTAACCTAACTTTTTCTCTGTATTCCAGCATCCGCTTAAGGATTCCGGCGTTGGCGGTAGTTCTTGAAGACCGGTGCAGCCGGAGTTGGGGCGGTGGCCGTGTTGACCAGCGGATTGACGGCCGTCACTGGAATTGGCCATCCCATCGATGGATGGGATGGCGGTCGCTCCGATGCGCGCGCTGATGGCCGTATCGGCGATGTCCGCGGTGTTTCGGCCATCCGTTTCACGAATCTGGGGATACGGGACCTGTAGTTATTCCGCACGAACGTCGTCGGGTCGCCACTTATTGCTGTTTTGTAGGACATCCGGTCTTCCCAACCCCGTTTGTAAGCGGCCCACAGCGCTGGGTCTGACTGTAATTGCGATGGCGTCATCTGCTCCACCAATTCTGCCTGCAATGTAATGTGGGCGGTGGCGTCTGCGTTGGTTGCCCTGCTGATCGTTTGCTGGTCGCATTCCAACAGTTCGGCCGCTTGTTGCAGGGTGGTGGCGGTGGTGGTGTGAATGTAGCGCTTTTCAGACTGTAATAAAGATAACTATACAATATATTATGCTGTTTTTGGTTTGTGATGATCGCTTCCGCGTAAAATGTGTGTACATTCCGCATGAATTCGATTTAGATAAATAAAAACAATAAAAAATACTCACGTGTATACTGTCCAATTTAGAATCCATCAGTGTCTCTGGGGCAGCCGGGCCTACAACGAGTTGAATTGCCATTGACATCGGTTGGTGGCCGTCATCCACACTGCAGGAACCGCGGTATCTATTTCGCTAACCACGGGTTCTGCTGCAGCTTGAACGCTTAGGTCTTCGGAACCAGAACGCTTAATCGTGGGTCCGGCGAAACAAAATAAGCGCCGGATAAAACGCTTGGTTTTTTTTCCACGACGTAACTTTCACAGCCTTAGCCAATGTGGTGTTCGGGCCTATTACGTTACACTGGGAATCTGATTATGGTGTCGAGTTAGGAGTTTCCGCTAAACCACTGATTTCTTCATCAATATTATACATAATGACACAAAAACTGATAATATTATAGTATATGTATACGAGTGATATATTATAATTGAAATATACTTTGAATATATGTATGAACTACGATCGCAATAATACAGGGTGTTCCGCGAGGACTATTAATATAAGTCATTAACGACATTAACTATTAAAATTACAATTTAAAGTATACCTACTCTAGAAATTTTAAGTACCCACGAATAATATTTTTAAATTACAACAATATAACTGAAATTGTTATTCTTAGTTCTTTAATTTGTAATTTCATCTAAATTTGAACTTAAAATAACAATAAAAAGAACTGTGATGTTTGTGTAACTTTTAGATTTTTTTGCCGAAGAATTATCTATTTACATGGAACATTGTTTTAAATTTTCATTCCTTAGCTATAAAAGTTGAACGTTTCATAAATTTTTAACAACTAAAGAATTTGTAAATTTTCAATTAAACAAATTTTGTTAAAATTTAATAGCTTTAAATGGTTATTAAAACAAAATGGGACTATGTATTTTTAATAGTTTTTAACTACCAATGTGACAATTACTTGTGAAACATTACAGTAATTTAATTTACTATTATATATTAGTGAATATTAATATAGTCAATTAAATTAATTTTTCCCTAAAAAATTAATTTTAATTCATTGGGTGTATAAAATATAATATTTTTAAAGTTTCATGCTGCAGGTAGTAACAAATAATATTTTGTGAGATTTTTATAGTATTTTTCAAAATTTTAATATAAATGTTTAAAAAAAAACACGAGTAAAGTAAAAATCTTTGATATTTTTAACTGCTTAAAAAAAACGTATAAATAAACTTTTTTAGTTTTCAAGATTTAAGACTCGATTAAAAAATTGTATTCATAGAAAAAAAAATTAAAAAATTGAAAGTTAAGAAACACTTTAAATAACTTAAAAATAGAAAAAATATTTTGAAATTTTAATATTTATAGACAATTTTAAAAAAAATTGTCGAAAACTTGCATCCATCATTATTAGTTTTTAAGTTACACCATAAAAGAAAATAAATTTTGTTCGTGATGGTGTTACGTAAAAGTGCGTTTTTCTACATTTTTTTTTCACAATTGACTCTTTTACTTTCCTACCAGAAAAAGATACTTAAGCATAAAATCAAAGCATTCTTACTGGCTATACTGCCCCAAAAGGTGATAACGGACACAAAACACTTGCACGTTATTGTAAAATCAATAACAGAGCGTGTTGCTGTAATATCGAATTTCAGTGGTCTWTAAATAACTCAAAAAAAGTCGAATTTTTGAAAATTAAACTGTATATAGATATCACTAATATTAACATTTGGTGAAAATTTCAAGTATTTACAGTGATTAGTTTTTGAATTACAACCATATTAAAATATCGATTTTTTTGAAAACTGTTGGAAAATGTTAACTTTTGACCTCTATAATGCACCAAGGATCTTCAATTTTACATCGGAAACCACCCTCAAAGTTTTGAAATCGAAGCATTATTTCGACTAGTTATGCTGTACACAGACACAAAAAAAAACACACATCATTGTAAAATCAATACATTCATCACTTCGTTCAGAATCTAAAAACATATATATTAAGATTGAATTAGTTTGTCAATAGGTTTTCCACACCACTTGCGCTTTAGCCGTTTTGGAGGATTTCCAGGGATAGGCAAGGAAGCATAGTATAGCATCTTTTATTTTTTAAGTTCTATTAGACGTCTAATACTCTTTTTAAAACCTCGACATTACTTTTATGGACAGACAAACTGATTAACGTACTCATTTGTGCAATTGGGACCAAATTAAATTGTAATTGCAAATGTTCGTTTTTTCACGAAAACTTAAAGTTTAAAAATTAACTTAAAATTAAACCTCATAACTTTTATTTTCCTATCTACATGTATTAAAAAAATTTCTCACCATTATTTATAATATTATTGAGATTAGGAACAGTTTATTTAAACTACATCAAACATTATATTGTCATTATATATTTGTATTATTACAAATCAGTGTATTATGTTCCACGCAGAACCCGTTCAGAGGTTGAGAGGTATTTTGGGGCTCAGGGCAAAATCGTGCAAATCACTCCTCTTTATTATTTAAATTGTATTTTAGGATAATAAATCTAGAGTGCATACTTTTTACAATTATCTAAGGTGGCTTATTATATTATTTTGCATGGATGCATGAGGCCTCGAGTTGTCTTATGGTCTTCGGAGGCCTGGGCGATTTTTGACCTGTATTTTTTTAACCTATATGTGGCTAAATTCACTAAAATATATTTAAACATATTATTAGTTTGATTATATATTATAATAATTTAATATCTTATTTCTTATTTTGAATTCATAATTTTATTACTGTTGTTAATTGTTTATTATTACACGACTATATACTTTTGTAAATTTACTATTATTATTGAATAGTATTAATACTGAATTAAGAATTCTCACCTCCACATAACCAACGGTTTGGAAGTGGCCAACTTTCATTATTATTTTATTTTTATTTTTATCATTATCTATTGTTTAACTATAAATTAGAAAAAAAATTAACATTTTAATATTAATAATATGCAAGCAATAAGCATAAATAAATTGTAATATTATTTTATAATATGAATTTTACAAGCCACTGTTTAATAAATGCACCTTTTGTTAACAAGTTGATTAAAACAACATAAGTATTATTTATATTTTATAACAAATAAATTCTTAATTTTCAATTATTTAATTTAACATAAATATCATTAATATTAACATCGGGCTACATTGTTCAAATTCAATCATAACTTTAAACTAATATTAAAATACTTATAGGCGATAGTATTATTATAGTGCCTAAGTGATAATATAAATAATTTACAATTAGTTATTATATATAAATAGAGGTATTATGATAAAAAAATAAAAAAAATACGACAACATCGTCGTATTATCTAAGTCTCCTATTCAATAGTTGAATTAATTAATTAAAACGTATAAAAATAATTATAATTGATACATATTTATACAAATTAAACATGTTAAACTAAATTATATTTGTCATTTGTTTAAAATTGGAATGTTTTCTTTAAATATTTCCAAAATGTCTGCATGTGGCTTAACAGTTTATTGACCATATTAATAGTTGTCTTACCATAGTCTACTTCCTCTAAATCCTCAAATACAGATTTGCGTTTAAACTTAATGTTTAAATTGTCAAACTCACTGTCTTCTGATAAAATATTCATTTCGTTTTTATTTTTCCGATCCATGAAGTTATCGTTGTCTTCTAGGACTTCTTTGTTTTTTGGATCAATAGTATGCTTGTTTTTGTCTATGTATGTATTCACTTCGTTTAGCTTAACCGTAAAGTCAGCCACCGATCGGGGATACCTAATAATTTCACCTTTTGTGACTGGCTCGCTGTTTATGTCAAGTTTATTGGATCTATCAGAATTAAATGTACCATTTATATCCATTATGTCATCTTCAACTATATTGTTTTTTAAGGATCGTTTGACCTTGTGAATTTTCTGATGAAGTCTATGTTCTATCTCCATTCTACGATTTTTTATTTTTTCTTCTAATGCTTTAATTTTAACTGCGGCTGATAAACTCGATTTGTTTTCAAGTTTACTTTCTTCATTCTTATCTATTGGGCTAACAATTTGTTCGGACTGCAGTATTTTTTTTCCATCCCTAAGGTTTTCAACTAATCTTTCAGTGACTTTTTCGTTAGTAACAATTTGATCGAGATCGACATTGGGTGAAGTTCTAACTCTTCCTAAAGGATGTAGAACTGGTTTGCTTTTAAATGTTGTTATTGGAAGTACTGTTGTTTCACGACTCTCTCTTACTACTGATTTTCCTTTTTTTATTTCTACTACATCAATAACTTTAGGTTTGGTTAAATTTAAAGTTTTTGGTGAATATGTAAAACGCCTAAACTTTGTAGTTTTTTTGGTGGGAATTTCTGTAACGCTGGGTTCAAAATTAGTTATTTCGGTTATTGGAAGATGGCTTATTGGAGTAGTCTTGGCATTTTCCACGTCTAAAAGGTTGATATATTTTTTTGATTTCAGATTAATTCGAGGTCTTGCTATTTTAGTAGTTGTACTATTTGTTTGACGATTATACCTTATATTATCAGCCAAATTATTTAAGTTTTCGATATTTGGCAATTCTGTATTAGTGATAATTGATTGTTTACTTGCCATCATTGAATTTTCAGTTATTGATTGTTGTACTGTAGAATCTTTTACTTCTTCTTTGAGTTTATCTTGCTGTTTTCTACCTTTGATTTTTTGAGAAGTTTTCTCATTTACTTTGGCTAAAGCTTGTTCCGCCCTAGTTTTAATTTTTTGAACATGACTATCGTGTTTTGCATGTATTTTATTTACAACTGAAATTGACGTTGAAGGAGTTGAAGTGATCATAGTTGTTGGTAGTGTTTGTGAAGTAAGTTCCGATTGTTGCAYATCAGGAATTTCAGTGTTAATTATTTTATATTCTTTTTTAATACGATCACGTGTTTTAAAACGATCATCATCAGGTTTAAAAGTTATTTCAGAAGACGACTGATCAGTTTTTGAAATTGAATCTAATGGAAGAATTTCTTGGTTTGTAAATTCTTTAATAATTGCATCTAATTCTTTTGAATTATAATCTGTGTCATCAATTGACCTTTTTATTAATTTTAATTTTTGAGAAGGTTTAAGAGATGATATAGCAGAATCTAAATTAGAGTATAAATCATATCGAATGTTTTTTTCTGCGTGTCTCCTCCCAGCAACTGCTTGGGCAAGAATGTGATATTTTTCTCTTCTGCTTTTAGGAAGTGGTAGACTTGCTAACTCTGTTTGTGTTTCCACGGTAGAAGTTTCAGTTGGAGGAAATGTTGGTGGCTCGTCAGAATATTCTCGATTATTTAATGTCTTTGGGAATTTCGAAAGCCAATTATTGTTAGAAAATGTGACATATTTTACCAGTGGTTCAGATTGATGCAAGCTTTCAATGTTAGGTGAGTCCTCATTGTTTTGTTGAGAACTTTGAATATTATTAACTTCTCTATCAACTATAGATTCATCATTGGTTTTAATATATTTAGGTCGGAATGCCACATACATTTGTTTTTCATTTGATACCACTTCGTCTTCTTGATCTAATATTGGTGCACTGTAATCGGTTTCGTCAAACTCCTCTAGATCTAAGATCTTGACACCATTTTTATAAGACTCTTTAGATTCTTCAATCTGAACCGCCATACACGCCTTTGATTTAATATCCGGTAATACTAGAAAGAATACGCATTGACTAGGTATAGTTATCAATTGGTTGGATGTTCGAACTTTCGGTGATATAATTGGAAGATCGCCATCAGGAGATAAAATCAATTTTTGTCCATTAAGCATAGTAGACCTAAATAAAATATAAATGCTATTATAGTTAAATGGTAAATATTCAAGTATTTTATATTCTACTTACGAAGCTTTCAAAGCTGTTTTGGTTTGCCTGTTGTTGGCAGTCAAGAAATATTGGTGTAATGGTAAACTTTGCATTTGTCCTGTTTTTAATGATATTTTTATGGGTTCTGATCCCATGTTTACACCAAAAACTACAACTGCACCCCTATTATATCGATATTCAGGAGCTAATATTCCTTCATTAGGATCGTATGGTGACATTTTTGTACAGTGAGAAACTGTTTCTAAACGCGTTTTGTTTCCAGACGAAATTTTTGTGTCTAAAACTTCAGATCCGACCAAAGCTTTGTGAAGAACTGATACCCAATAATCCTGTACAAATAATGATTTGATTATTATCGATGTACATTTTTTGATTAAACAATTAAAAATTATGATTATGAATTTTAAGAATGACCATGAACTATTCATTCATTTTTTAAAATCCTTCTCAAACATATAATTATAGGCTAATTATAAGTAACTAAGATAAAAATTAAATGCATTTGAAATTTTTATAACAAAAAAATTAAAAAACAATTTATAATTTTCTTTTAATAATATTATATTAACCTAATCAAATATATTGGGTTTAAAACTATTATTGTTGAATAGAATCACTCTATATCCTACCTAAAATACACTAACAAAGTAATAACAGTTGACTTTACCAATTGAATTTTTTACATTAATGATAGGTAGATATGTTGATTGTTGATTCAATCTAAGTACAGTATTCTATAGTCTTCAGATATATATATCGATATATAAATCAAAGATTGTTTAATTTTTAGTAAAAATGGTTACCAAACAAGTATTTTAATAATAGTATTAAAATATCAACACATTTTTTTTCCCCGAATATTTTGAAAAGTACTGAAATGAAGTCGATTGTCAGAGTTTTTTTCTAAAAAAAGTGTTTCCAAACACAAAGAATACATATTAATATATTCATTACATTAAACCCAGAATTCAAAATATGTATTTTGTATACCTATACCTGCAGAGGCATTCAAACTGTGCGTCACGGCTCCCAGGGACGTCACGGGAATTTATTGTCGAAGGGAACGTGTCGTATAGTTGATAATCAATAATAAATATTCATAGTTTTTTTTTTTATATCATATGATAAACAAATATAATTATTATAAATCATATACATATAAATTTTAAATATTTAAATATTGATTTTTTATCATTTATAATTTGGGAGCCGTCAACGTTTTGTGAAGACACACGGGGGCCGTGGAATGAAAACGTTTGAATATCTCTGTTGTTACAGTTAACAATTATTTTAAATCATTTGAACATTACTTATTTTTAAATTTTAAAACGTATACAAATTAATTAAATCAGTAAAGCGTTATATACCTAAACATTATACAATAATAAATTGTTAATGATAAATACCTATAGATTGTTTTAAATTGTCTAGGTATATTTTTATAATTGTTTTAAGGTAATTTAAATGTTTACAAGTCTTGATAATGTCAATTAAAACCTAGATAACTTAATTTGAAATTAAAAGTATTTAATTCAATTTTATAATTACCGGAGTTGGTTCACTTAGCGATGATAACGATGGTTTTCTCATAATAGTATTTATTCCAACTCGAGCACCTGCACATAATCTTTGTGCCCAAACTAATCCATCATTGAAATCTCCTCTTCTATCTTTGTTTCCCGATTCTACAATCCATAAGGGTTTTTTTGCGGCTATTTTCCCTAAATATTTATTCGTCAAATCTTTTTGCCACACCCGAGCTTCCATTTGATTTTGTATGTAACTGAATATTTCGGTGGGATTTTCAACGTTTTTCTCACTTGAAAATGGTCTAAAAAGAGATTTATTATAATATAAGTAAAAATTTAGTAAAAAAAATTGGATTAATTAACAAAATTAAATGTATTGTTTTATATTATCAAAATACTTTTAAATTTGAATTAGTGTAAGTAAACCTATATATGAGTTAAAATAATTAAAAAAACAGCACAGTTATTGTGCTCTAATGCATTATAAAGTATAAACTGTTATAGTAATCATAAATATAATTTATATATTATGCAGTTTATTCTCATCAAATAATTTTATGAAAAATATATATTTGGTTGATAACCTACTTTTAAACTATTAATTATAATTTATATATAAATATGTATTATAATATGTAAGCAAATAACTAAACGATTTATTCTATAGTAAAAAAAAAAATAATAATAATAAGCTACCTAATTAATTAATTGACTAGTTTGTATTTTCTTTTACATTTAACACAGATTTAATTAAATATATTTATACAAATAAATGCAATATAAGCGAGAATGCGATTTGTTGACGTACCTAAAGATTGATTGATATTTACATAATTAAAAAATAGACCGAAAATCTTGAAATGTTGTACAACCATTTTCTAAAAATCAAGAATAACCTGTATAATTTCAAGCCTAAATATTAAAGGGTTTATCACTTATAAATCTTATGTAAAAAAAATAATACCAGGTATAAGTTGACTGGTATATATTATTCTATAGATAATATCAATAAAATATATAGATTAAATATTAAATATGTTTAATCTATATTCAATGATCATATAGATTAAATAGGTATATTATAATAAATTACTCGAAGTAAATTAATGAATATTATTTTTAATCAAATTATACTTGAGGAATTAATTGATTAATTTTATTTTGTTAAAATGTTTTAAACAAACTGTATGCACAATGAAATTTGAAATTCACAACTTAATAAAATTATTATTGAGTTATATAAAAATGATTAAGCAAATTAAATAAGCCAATACACTTGATTAAGTAAAAATTCAAAATTAACAACATAATGTTATACATTTTATTATACTTTCATAAATATAGATTTCAATGCAGACAGAATTCTTTTGGAGGGATTGCTCTATAAAAATGCTACTATGTACATAATTTATCCATGTAACAGATATTTGATCATTTTTAACTTTTTAAGGGCATAATTCTTAATTCTATTTTTCTAGCTAAAAAGACTTTTGGTTATTTTTTAGATAACTTTATCACCTATGAATTTTAATGCATTTAAATCTAATACCTAATTCTTAGTTATTATCAGGGTTTTAAAGTTCTAGAAATTGCATATTGTTTTTGGTAAATCTTAGAGTATCTCCAGAAAGATAAAAATTTATTTCATACTTTTAACACGATTTTTCTTATTATTATTTTTCGCATATTTATAATTTTATGGTTACTTTGATTATTTAGAAGTTAGAACTTACGTGCTATTTTAAAGTGTATTTTTATATATTATGATTTGAATCAAACACATTTCGTTGATTTTTTTTTTTATTCATTCATCAAGAATATTAAAAATTAGAATTAGATTTATTAGAAATTAAAATTTAATGAATAGAACCGGTCGTTTATTTATGTTCATTTTTTCCTGCGATAGCTGATCGATACACCTTGCTACTTTTATCAATAAAAAGAATTTCATAAAAAAATTTAAAAATTTTAATACAATATTAAAATGTTATTTTAAATGTAGAACGAAGGTATTTATAGCATATATTTTGGTGCTAATGAAATATTTATAAATAAAACCACTAAATAGTAGGTAATTATTAAGTTTAATCTAATTACTATTTAATAATTTATTATGTACCTAATTCACTATTCAGCATATTTATGAAGTGTGAAATCTTTAATCTTAAAAAACGTTTAGAGATAATTTAGTCATAAAATTTAATATTATAACTTAATAAATGAGTTATGTATATTAAATTAAAGAATATATATATATTACTTACACTTGGTATGATAATGCAGAAAGTGAAGGACCAGATTCTATGATAAAATTCTTCAAATACTTAGCTTCTTCTAAAGTTTCACACGATCTAATATCAGGACCCGTAATTGGCGAATTTAGGTACCTAGGGAATGCTTCAAGTACTTTACGTAATCTGTTTGCATCCCTACCAAGTGACAAGCCATCAATACGCTGTCCAATTGTTTGAATATCTAAATAATATAATTAGGAATATTTTTGATGATAAGTACACATTGAATTGTTGTCTCATTAATATAAATATCTACCAACCGTTGCCAATTTGGAACGCCATATTATAGCCATATTTATCCGAATATGATATTAGATCTAAGGTGTTACTGAGATCCCATGACCCGTGTTTTCTATTCATAACGTTTAAGCCGACAATTAAATCCAATCCAGTTTTGGCTATAAATTCGTTTAATTGTGACCAATGCCAACCAGTAATCGTTATGTTATTTCTCCCTTGTCTTACGGGATTGGCTGTTGACAATTTCGAAATGTCTTCGCCTCCTTGAAACTTAAAGTTATTGCATTCCGGACCAGATATCCTAATGTACGCTGGATTTAAGCCTTTAGCCATGTTAATGGTAGCTGGTCTATAATACATTAATTATAATTGCATGTTTATAAGATATTTTATTACAGTGCAATTATGAACACAAACCCAAGATTATTTTTCAATGCTGAAAATATAGTTGACGGTTCGAGTGCGATACTTAAGAAACGATCGCTGACGGTATGCATACATTTTTTAGTATTGATATTTATAGATAAAATGTTGGACGAATAACCAGCCGGTTGCACTAAAATACTAGGATTTTGTGCGTTTGTTAAACAAATGCCAAACAAGAGCAACGTTCCTAACGAAAAAACAATGTTAACCATTGTAAAATCTGCAAAAACAAAATATTCCTTTTAAAATTTTCACAAATATAATTAGGTACATTATTCGTATACATCAAAATGATTATAATATTATAAAATATGCAAAAAATTTAAACCCTCATGTTTTCATGTCTAAAATGAGAAATTTATAGATAGAGTATATAGTTATTTGTACGTCAATTATATTCAATATGACAATAGACAGTACCCTTTTATAAAAATATAATGTATATAATATACCTATGCATAGATTGTACACGTATAGTATTCAAAAACAATATATATAAATGCCAATTACTTACCAAGATCGTAGGACGATGTCTTGGACGAATTTGTATCGTTTAAATACGTGTAGAAACGGATTGTCAAAAACAATCAAACACTGCAGTACTGGTGACCACTTAAAAATGTTCTACAACATTACGTACCGTAAACTCGGCATGGTTTGTGAGGCGTATTGCTCATAGACTTGTATATATAACGCAATGGTCTTTTTTATGATGGAAACATAAACAATTGAGTTTGTTGTTATTATAAATGGAGATGTATACACTCGTATACATGGTCGTGACATTTTTTAAATAACATTAAGTCTGACGGAATCTTCAACACGCTATCCTTAACAATACTGGTTAATTTTTTGTTCGTTTCAAAATAAAAACAATTTTATTTCGTGTTTTTCTTATTATTTTATACTTTTGTTATTTATCAGGTGCTGTTCACCCGTGAAGAAATTCACGTATAAGAATGCGGAACAACATTATATTTTTGTTTGAAAAGATCGTTGCACGTTTAACACGCATTTTTCGTCAATAGCTCTATCGAATTATAAAAAAAATGGAGAAATCATATATCTGGGGGCTGGGACTGTAGCCCCCTCCCTCCAGAGTCTGTAACAGGTAAGCATAATAACGTATGCCAGGAGCTGGGTTAAATTAAATCATGTTTAATAGACAATATTATATTTCGTTTACACGTTATTATCGATTCATTAAGTATTTAGATACATGTTTAATATTATATTGTTTATGAAATAAGTCAATAACTATAATAAAATACGCTAATTAATATAATTTGTTATGATGCCGATACTAAATACAAGTTCATGAGGTACTTAACCGACGTTATTTATTGATAACAATGTGAATAAAACTATGGAAAAAAGTGTTTAAACGCAAAAATTTTTTGAGCAAAATACATTTTAGTTAGTTCGTAATTAAATTTTAAATTTGTATTCAGTAGGTGTACAACTAATTATTTTCATCTGTTCGATAATTCAATGGTTGTGATGTGTATTTTATTTTGTATACTTATTCCATTTTAATCCAATAATTGGTAAATTATTTATTTTTAAATTTATAAATATTATGTTTGGAAACTTCATTGCTATTTCTCAATGCGTAACTTATTTTGATGAAAAATTTTATATCAAAGTATTAAACTACATGTACTTTGTTTACTCTTTCTAGCTCACACATGAAATAAAAACACACACATATATTTATATGTACTCATACACAATTATTTTTTATATTTTAAAGTAAACTTAGAGTAAAATCACATATAACAAAAATAATATTTTTGTTGGTTTTACGTGTACATTTATCTCATTGTCTCAAAACAATTTAATATCCATTAAAATTTAAACAATTAATTTTTAATTTTCAAATAGTCAAAATATAATAATGAAATATAAAACTGATATGTCAAAATCTCGAAAATATTATTCTCTATACATTTTTTAATAGGTAATCTTAATTTTATCCAAACATTTTAAATCACTCACAAATCATAGATTTGTCAATTTAAGATTTTACTTGAATGCGTTTTGTCTTTATGTGGTGCGTGAGTCTGAGAGAAAAAACAAAAACTGACATCATCATCTTTAAAAATAAATAATGATTGAATTCTCAATTATTTTAAAATATTTTCTCACTCAAAAAATAACATAATACCAAAGCCTAGTATAAAATATACTACATAAATGTTAAACAAATACTGTTTATATATATATATTTTTTTTTTTGCTTGTTTATTTTTATTTATTTACTGAACACATTATTTACAATAGCTGGTACATATTACAAAAACACAGTCAATAGTCATATTTCATACCCAGAACAAAAAAACAACTTCAGTTGGTTTTATAATCATTCAGTGTTTTGAAGTTGTTAGATAAGTATAGCTTATTATTTTTCAAGAAATGTTATATGAGATTTATTTTTACTGAAATTAGAATTTGATGTGTACAATACTAAAAATTTTTCAAACGAAATATGAAAACAATTTTAAATGTATAGATAACTTTTAGCAGTAAAAATATATCATTACATTTCAGTATTTATATGAATCACTCAATCACATCAATATTCAATACATTATATTTTATAATTATATAAATTGATCGTTGAAGCCTGAAATAAAAAAATTATAAAAAAAAAAAAAAAAAAAAAAAAAATTTTGCTTGATAATCACAAAATTCGAATTTATACTATAATTATTACATTATTTTTATGACATATAATATTATTTAATGTTTATATTGTTAACACTGACTCATAATTCGCTTTTTAGTTTTTATTTACCGATACGTGATTTTTAAATAGGTAGTGAGTTTTGTATAACGCTGACCTTTACATAGTTAGTAAAACGTACAAGTGTGCCTAAATAAATAATTATTGTATTCGTGCAGTAACAATAGTTTAAGTAGTTTATAATCCACATAAATCTAAGACTTAATTAATATGCATATAAAAAAAAACATATTTAGATACTATTTAGATATCAGTATATCACATATGCATATTCCTATATGTATTATATTGATAAATGTGTAAATTTCCAAATAAACATACATACACGCTCGGTGGCCTAATAAATATGGTGATCAATGGAGATGGCGATTGCCCCCACTCCCCAGGATGTTCCACTAAACGTCTAAACAAATATCAGAATCTGTTTAAATATTTAAAGAATACGGAACCCACGTAAAATATAAATTTTCAAAGAGTAAGTTATTACCTACTTTAATCGAATAATATTTCTAACTAATTATGTAATATGTATATAAACTATATATTATTACGTAAAATCGTTTATCTATTGAGATAAATTATAAACAATGAACAATTTACCAAAATATAAAGGCAATAGGTACTTGGCATGGACAAAACTTGTATACCTAGGTGTACTTAAAGTTATAGTGGTTAAACAAATAGAAGATTAAACTTGTTGGTATTATATACGCAGCCTTAAGGCGGAAAAAACCTACGTAAAAACGGTATATGCAAGATTAGATAAACTACAATAGAAAATACTTTATATAGTATGTAAATTAATTAGAGGTAGGTCCAACCCAAAAATATGGTCTCGAACCGAACGTTTTAATATTTAATAGTACGTCAAAACCAATAAATATTAAACATATGAATGCGGCATTGATTCAAAATCGTAAAGCTACGATAGATATTGTATAATATGAATGATAATTCATTGATAAAACATAAGATATGGGAGAGATGTTTGAGAAAAACGTTTCTCTATTCCATTTGTTTTTCAATTTTATATGCACATGTAGGCACAGTGTAGAATGTAGATAGATAATATTATGATTTTAGTTTTTAATTTTACTTTTGTAACATTATTAAAATCAAAATAGTCAATAATGCAATTAGAATGAACGTTCAACTCTTTGAATTAAATATTATAAACCAATATAGAATAATATGGGTACCTGTTCTTAATCATGAATAATAAGCAAAATACAATTATATTATTAAACAACAAAAACATTTTTGGTTTCAAAGTTTGACGAATTGGAATTATTTCGGAGTTAAAGCTATTTTAAACTTTTTGTTCGAGTTCGATTCGTTTTAGTTTTTATTTTTTTAAACTTTACTGTTCGACTTTCAAACTAGAACCGGACACCTTAAATTCGGTTTGATTGTCGAACTTCAAACAGTTCGAGCCACCTTTAAAATTAATAGAACATAATAGATACTATAATGATATGCAAGCTAATATAACCCTGAGGTTGATGCTTAACTAAAAATAATAACAAAAAAACTTTGGTACATAAAATATCAACATACATGTTGTTTATAACTCTATTAGCTGTTAGAACTGACATTTGGACTAACTTTTTTCATATTAATATATATTTTTTTTTCATTAATTGAACCTAGCACTACATGTATAATACATTTTTTTATGTTTTATTTTTTAGTACTGAAAATAAAAAAAATGTTGGATAAATTCAAAATAGCCTATTTATGAATCTGATTATAAGAACAATTTTGATGGTAAAAAGATTTATCTGAATCAAGTAGTTTATTTTTTAGAATTTTTTTAAAATTCAATATTATTTTGGTTAAATTAATTTGGAACGCAATAACTTTTTAAAAAATATGATTTTTGAGAATTTGCTGAAATGAGTATATTTCTTAAATTATTTACCTATTCATCATATAATATTTTAAAAAATTGTCATACGATGAATTGGCATAATTTTTTTTTTTTTTTGGTCAGGTCTTTCTGTTACACCCTGTATAACATTATTCTGTTCTTACTCCCTTCTAATTCTTTATTATTTTATAATAAAAAGCAAATTAAAAATTAAAAAAATACTCCCCTCTAAAGATTTCCTCTCCAACTAAGTATGACTTTATTATTACATACCTCTGGAGAAAAACTTCGGTTATTCGAATTTAGTGAGATCATAAATACCATTAATACGCTGTACATTTGTACCTCCATAGTCACACGTTGATATTATCGAAATATGATTGATAAAATATTTTGTCTATCGTTTCATACGCGCTTAATGCAGCTTACCTACAGTCGGCTACAACTGTATATAAAAATATTATTTTCAGGCTCTTTTAATTTTTAAATAATGCCGTATAGTACGGTCTACAATATCGAAATATCATACTATACGTAAGCGGTCTGAGGAATATTGAGCTTTTTTTCAATCGTAGCCGCTCGTCGTCCGGAGTTTAATGCCGTATTGCCGTCAATCGTTATTACTTATTCGTTTCACCAAACGAACGACGTAATTTTGAACGACCACGTGTTTGGCGCACGCGCGCGCGCGTAACAGTACGACCGCCGGAACCACCGCGTGATCGGTACGCCGTCGCCGAGGTACGGTCACACTGTCGACAATCAACGGGACGATGGCAAACGCGACCGCGTCCAGGAGCGGCAGGAGCTACGTAGTCGTTTGTTTTGTTTGGGGTTGTGTTTGTGAAATTCATTGATTGCTGCTTTACAAAATTAATCTTTTACCACCAAGTTTTGTTGGTACTTAATACTTGTTTCCCGGTAAATTTGTAAATTTCAATTTACGATCCCGCTGGTCTCACTTGCGGCGGCGGCGGCGGCGGAGGCGGAAGACTTGCTGGCCGGGACGGTTTGCGCACTTGGGCGTCGAGTCACAACACGTAAACGTAAGTGCGCGCCGCTACGACGCTTATTTATCTGCGTTAAATACCGTCGGCGGTGGACATAGGCCATAGCCGTACACTCGCGCGACGATGCGGCCCGGTACGACGCGTTGACGCCGCTCTCAGCCGTAATTCGTTGTGCCTAGTGCCTACCCGTGTTTACCTTCCTCTAACCGTAGTTGTTTGCTTGTGTGTAACAGGACGATGGGCGATTATATACACACAAACATTGCCCAGGACAATGTGGCGATGGTGCGGCTCGAGCTGGCCCAGAACGATCAGATACCGCTGCGGCGACCATTCGACCCGCTCATCCACGACCTGGACCCGCACTTCAAGTTGACCCGGTTTGCCGACCTTAAGGGACGCGGTTGCAAGGTTCCGCAAGAAGTGCTCAACAAGCTCCTGGAGGGCTTCCAACAGGATGAAAACGGCCATGGCGAACAGTCGCACTTCATGCATATGGCCATGACCAAAATTGGTATCGGGATGGACGCGGCCGTCGTTCCCATAAGGCACGGTGGCCTATCGCTAGTGCAGACCACAGATTATTTTTACCCACTTGTTGACGATCCATTTGTCATGGGCAAAATTGCCTGTTCCAACGTACTGAGCGACTTGTACGCCATGGGCGTAACCGAATGTGACAATATGCTCATGTTACTATCAGTATCGACCAAAATGACTGAAAAAGAGCGAGATGTTGTGATACCGTTAATAATGAAAGGTTTTAAAGAAACCGCTTTTGAGGCTGGCACTACTGTGACCGGTGGACAGACCGTTGTAAATCCATGGTGTACTATTGGAGGCGTCGCAACTACCGTATGTCAACCAAACGAATTTATCATACCAGACAATGCTGTAGTCGGCGATGTTCTTGTACTGACCAAACCTCTTGGAACACAGGTAGCTGTAAATGCACATCAATGSGTTGAYCAACAAGATAAATGGAATCGAATAAAACTGATTGTTTCAGAAGAAGACGTGAGAAAAGCTTATCAACGTTCCATGGACTCGATGGCTCGTTTAAATAAGACTGCAGCCAAACTGATGCATAAATACAATGCTCATGGCGCGACAGACGTCACTGGTTTTGGCCTATTAGGTCATGCCCAAACATTAGCAAAACATCAAAAAAACGAAGTGTCGTTTGTCATTCACAATCTTCCAGTTATTGCCAAAATGGCATCTGTAGCAAAAGCATGTGGCAATATGTTCCAATTGTTGCAAGGTCATTCAGCAGAGACGTCAGGTGGACTTTTAATTTGCTTACCAAGGGAACAAGCTGCAGCATATTGCAAAGACATTGAAAAAGTAGAAGGATATCAGGCATGGATCATAGGTATCGTGGAGAAGGGCAATCGCACTGCCCGAATAATAGATAAACCTAGAGTAATAGAAGTTCCGGCTAAGGAGAAAGATGGAGAACTATGGTAGGACTGTAATTAAATTAGTGCCATCGACTTAAGAAGTTGTAAGGAATATACATTTTTTATTTTATTTAATATCTAGCTTTCCATTATTTCAAGATTTAATTTAAACAAAATCTTAATTATTTATTTATTTTTTTTTTTTTTTGTAGCTTTTATTCAATTTTATTGTGTATTTTTTACACCACAGCTAGACTTATTAAAAAAAAAAATACATGTATATATTTCTTACAATTACTTCAAATTACAATTGACCATTCATTAAAGTTTATATTTTTGTTTTATGTAGTTTTAAACAAATAAAAATATCTGTATGTACTGATTACATAAATTGGTTTATAGTCTTTACAAGCCTGAAGAATATTGAAACAATCTATCATACAATATATTGAAATTATTAATTACAAATTACAGTTTGAAAATTGTTTACTAGTTTTTACATTTTTGAATTAAATTAAATTAAATCAGGATCCAATACATTATGTATCTATATTCTATATAAATCTAATAAAATATTACAATTATTATGAGAGATTGATATCGGGACACTTTTTTTGGAAGCTCAGTGTTAAAATTAATTAATATTATCCAATTAACATAAATCATTTTTGAGCAATAACCGCAAACATTAATATTAAAATAAATATTGTGTGTAGCGTATTATGTATTTATGTAAAATATAAATAAACATAAAATAGTATTTATACAAATTCATAAAACCATTTTATTTTGTACACAAAATAATATGTGCACAAAGTTAATTATATTGTTTCTATTTTAATAATTATTTACAATAAAGTTTATAATAAATTGCTTGGAATTTATTTATTTAAACATAAAACAATTAATATCTATTATAAAAAATATAATTTTATTGATATTGTTAAATTACATTAAAATTTCTATAATAATTTATTTTTGAATATGCCTTACACTAATTTGTATTTTGTTATTTCTTTTCGAAATAGATTAAAGCAAACATTAATATTCCTAAGATCAAAACTGTGGCGGATAGACTTTCCATGAATATTGTTTTTAAATGGTGTATTTTTTTTTATGTATACTAAGTAATAAAAATTCTATTTTCATTAGACCAGGAAACAACAAATGAAAACTTTATAAATGCAATTTGATCTTTTTTTTTTATAGGATATTAAGGTAACTTAAAAATAATATTTTAAATATTTGAAGTACTAACTTAATAGGTATGTATTTTATAATTTTATTTTAAAAAGTAACTGACAAAGATAATTTTAGGTCTGATAAAAATGTATTAAATGAAATTTAAAAAAAGTTAGGATTCAATTCGTTGATCCAAAATTTCTGATTCAATCCATTGATTTGGATCCAATCTTCATTGATTTTGAGATATCATCAGCTATTTTATCATCATTATCAATCTACAATCTCAGATAGTCAGATCTATTGACAATCGACTCAATGAGACCTCTATTAGCAAATTTACCAGGGTTAATGTTGTTAATAATTGTTTTCAAAACGCTTTATAATTCAGATTTATATCATAATCCGGATTGGGTATTTTAGTTTGAATTAAACAGATTGTAACTCTTGTTTTAATCCAGATTTGGTGTGATCAGCACTACTATGTACCTAATGACATTTTTCAAAATTGAAAGGCTTATTAAAAAAAGTTTAATATTCCAGAAATATATAAAATAAACTGATAAACTCATTTTGTAGTCAAGAGGTAAATTTATATTATTATCGAGATATTTTACACATTTTTCTATTTTTGGAGGTTAAATCTTTGGTACTAGGCTACRTATATTGTATAGATAAGTTTTCGATTCATGTAAAAATTAAGGGAATAAACAATTTTTTTTAATTTCCCAAAAATTAGATTTTGGAATATTAACCTTTTTTCTAATCAGTTATTCAATTTAACTAGAACAGATATCACCATTATAAAGTCACATTTTTGCCTCCTTTAATTTAATTTTTTTTTTTAATTGAAAAAAACAGTTGCATTTACATTTTCCATTGGTGATTTTAGAGTTAACCACTATTATCCCTATGTTAAGGACACATGGGATACATGTCTATTAAAATGTATTTTTCAAATTAAATTAATAGATACTATCTGGGATGTAAGAAAAAAAATATTTTAAGTAAACGTAACAACACAGTGAGTTTATATAAAACTAATTTTTATTGATACATACTTCTAACAATGATGATTAACTAATTATTTACGCGGTTCTAAGCATTTTTGCTTCTTTCAGTTCTTGCAATTCTCGTTTTCGTTCTTCCAACACAACTTTTCGTTCTTCTAAGAATTGTTGATAATCCTCTGCATTCAAATCTTTGACTACTTTGATGCCTAACGACCTGGCAGTAGAAATTAACATGTTGCATATTTCTTCTAGTTCCCTGAACTCCAGGTTCTCGTCAGACTGCTTGATCAACGCTATTTCGTACACGTGTTTGAGCGTAACCATTCCGGCCGTCTCTTTCAGGGGGTTCATGGCTCCTTTTTGTATGCCCGCAGCTTGCTTCAGGTAGTACATGGACGGGGGTTTTGTAATCGATATCTGATAGCTGCGGTCTGGATTGACGTGCACCCGGGTCGGCAGTGGTATGCCTTCTTTTATGTCTTTGGTCTTCTCGTTGAAGTCCTTGCAGAAAGCCGTAATGTTGATGCCCCTGCACCCCAACATAGGCCCGAGAGGAGGCCCCGGTGTGGCCATGCCGGCTGGTATGTTTGTCCGTAACTTACCATGTTGTATTTTCTCCACGCCTTGTTTCATTTGCCGCAACTTACTGGCATTGTACTTCGACATGGCTTAAAACGATCGGACTCCACGTGTTGGTGGTACTCGGCGCCAATTGCGCTAGTCAATGCTCAATGACGATTTTCACGTCCAAAACACTGAATTTAAATCCAGTACGATTGAATTCGAAAATATAGCAAGTAGGAAATTATTAAGCCGCAAATATAAACAGTGTTATCTTAGATAATATTGCAATGTGATCGGAATTAAAATGATAATAATAATATTGATAAGATATAGTATATACCACGGTTAGAGTTATTTACCATGGTTGAAGATAATATTATATAGGCACAGAACAATAATACAGGTCATTTCGTGACTGAATAACTATAAAAATATAAATAACCAAAGCCGTGGGTGGCAAGGACCGAGGGGCCTTTGCCTCTTGAGCACATTTCAAGAAGGCAAAAAAAAATGTTTATCGCCCGATTTAAATGACGAAAATCGTCAGACGAAAAAAAAGGATTTTGAATTGTAATCAAACAAGACCCAATTATAATATAATACAGGCCACTTTACACTTACTTCATGACAAGTGCACCAAAACTCGTCAATCGTCACTTACTGGCTATACTATACAGTGTAGCAAATGGCAAGCATTTAAATTCATATAACATTATAACCTATGATATAATAATATTTTATTCGACTTGAAAATATTTAATTACTTGCCATACCTTTTTACTTTTTAGTAAAATGTTGATTGTTGAACAATTTTTTCAGAACAAGTTAGAAATAGGAGAATAATAAGAATAGAATTCAACTCATATAAGTTTGTAATGATACAAATATGATATTATTTATGATACCTACTAAGTACTCATAAATATATTTAAAATACTAAGAGTCTAAAATACTAAGATCGAGAAATAACTAAAATGTATTAATATTTAAAAAGTTTAAAACTATTTTAACTTTATGTAACATTTTATTATTATTTACTATTGAGGTATGAATTAATTGTGTATGTGTTGTTGTTTAATGATAGGTTATTACCTTGATATTATAATTAATAACGCATGAAAACTACCAAACAGAGGTACAAAGTAATTATATAAAATTCATAAAAATTACCTACCTTAAAACATTTTAAACCAATTAAACATTTAAATTGACGTCAACCAACTTAGGACAACCAAACATGTAATAGAGGACCTATTTTTTATTCATTAGATAATTATACATATAAGTACCATACTATTCGGATAGCAAACGATTATATAGTTTTGGTAACTTCATCATCATACATTCATGTATACATAAAAATATCACAATTCATAATACTTGAGTAATTTAAAAAAATAAATGTTCGTTTAAACATTTTTTTTTTCAAAGCATTTTTATAAAATAGTTAATCAATCCATTGTGTATCAATGTATATTACCTATATTATATTATAGCTAAGGACGCATTCGTATATTAACTTAAAATATGATGAGTCTTGTAACATAAAATTATAATCAAACCAGGTTCTAGTATATAAAATTCATAAAAAAAACTTCTTATAAAAAGTATCCATCACATCGTCTGTCATTTGTCACCTAGGTAACTATAGGAACAACAATTTTATTGATATGAGTCATATCATATGACCAATAACTATATAACATTATAATTGTTCAATTCGCACAACAAATAAAATTGATAAAAATATGAAAACAAAATTTTTTTTAATTTTTCGATTCTTCAAAATTTTTCGTAAACGTCTGGAAGAACTAGAAAAAACTGTAATTTTTAAGTAAAGCCAATTTTCGATTGACTCTTTTTAAATTATTTTTAACCTATAGACACTTTAAAGTTTAAATAATATCAAATAAACATAAATAATAATGTTTTCACGTGGTGAAAATGTTTGAAAATGTAATACCTTTATGGCTTTTATAAGGTTTCTCTTTCTCATAACTTATTCATAATGTATAAAGTAGAAAATATCAAAAATATATCATAATAATTAGTTAGTACTTAAGAAGACGCCACACACGTATTTGTTTTCTGAGTCATACAAACGCGTAATGACATAGCAAATTTACGCTCAGCAGTTCACATTTTACTCCGTTAGATTAAAAATTAGAGTGAATAGACGAATAGACCCCTATTTTGAAACTTGATGGTAAGAACATTATCTGTGTTTTGTTGGAAATATTTTTACGATGATTCAGTTTTTAAGTGAGTTAGGCGCATCTAAAAAATTGGGTACTTAATCGGAAAAAAAACCCCCATAAGCAACTATTTAAAAAATTACAGATGCCTCTGGACCATTATCCCTCAATAATAGTCTATTATTATTTATTACCCAATAATGCACATTCACCTGTAATAAAATAGATATAATTTGTTAAGTATAGGATTTTATTTCCTAATTAAGATAATTTAAAAAAAAAATATACCATCAATAACAATTTCTTTGATATTTTGAGGTTCGTTCGGATCATGAAAACTTCGATKATATCTAATATTACGTTTTAAATATTCTTCCTTGGGTAATTCAGCTAAAACGCCGACATCCAGATTCTCGATTACCTCCGAAAATGTTTGGCCGGGTGTATCATTTGCAGAGGATAAAGCTTTATTTTTTATTTCTTGTTTAACTTTTATGGCAGCTATAGCTATAAATAGTAACAGTCATATTTATGTATTTATTTATACGTGTTCTTATTTATACATTTATATTTTATTATTTTATATTTTTTTCATTCTTAGTACAACTTTGAATTTTTAAATATAAATTTTGTAAATGCATATTTGTTGCATATTTCAATGATATATATATATATATATTAATTAATAATTAATAATATAGGTATAAAGATATAATATAAGATAATTTTATTATTTTTATTTTTATTATTATAATTTAAATACTAATTAGTTGCTTTGGGGATTTTTTTTTATCATTATTATTTTTTTACGGGGATTTTTATTCCGGGATTCAAAAAATTGTAAAGTAAAAAAATTCTCATATCTCACTTAAAAATTAAATTATCGTAAAAATACTTCCAACAAACCACAGATAATTTACTTACCATAAAGTTTCATAACAGGTCTATTCATTCTAATTTTTAAGCTAAAGGAATAAAACGTGAACTGCTGAGCGTAAATTTTCTATATTACGCGATAATAAGACTGAAACAACAAATACGGGTATTGCGCCCTCTTAATTCCTAAACATTTTAGGTTCAAATTTGAACAAAATTCAATATTTTAACAAAGAATAACAATTTTAGTTACTTTTTTGAAATACAAAAATATTATTTGTGGGTACTTGAAACTTATAAAGTACCTAAATAAAAATGTAAGTATAATATTATCTTTATCATTCAATGATTAAAAAATGTTTCATAACAATGCAACAAATTTATTTTAGTTTTGACATCTTATGGTAATTCATATTGCAATGGCTACTAATGTTATATTAATGTATTACCTTTAATACGTTTTTATACTTAAATGATTTCATTTGAACAAAGATACATTTAGCATTTATAAAATATTAAACTATACATTTTAGTTAATCAGTTTTTGGAAACATACTATTTGTAAATGTTTGTTAAATACTATTCTCAATGTCTGAACATATTATGCTACTAATACTATACTATAATAGTAATGACTAACGAATAATAATGTATAATAATTTGATGTAAAAAAAAAGAATAGAATTTTGCATTATATTCTGAGTGAAGTGATAGTGATTACTGAATTGAGTTATTGGTTTGATAAACAATTGTTAGTTGACAACACAACTAAAGATAATATTATATGCTATTACAATATATTAAATATAACCATGGTTGATAAATTTATAGATTCTATTTATTAAAATGTCCAAGTAGTTTTCAAGAAAAACAATAACATTTATAAATCTATGAAAAAATATTAAGTACTTGATTCAATTAAAAAAAAAAATTAATTAAATTACTGCCCCTTTATATTACTACAACGCACAAAACAAGTCTGATAGAATAAAATATTTACACAAAATAAAAGTTTTTGAATAATTTTGTTAATTACTTATTTATTTAGATATTTGAATCCATTTGTCCAAGTATACTATTGCTCTATAGAATGAAGTGGATTCCAACCTTTGGAACATCATTTAAATCATTACTCATAACTACTGTTGCTGGAAGTTTAATAACGTAAGTCATAATTTGTGAATATAAGATTAGTAGTGTCTCATTTAATTTGTATTTTGTATTTCAATATATAATTTTTGGAATTGTTGCATAATTTGTTATTCTTTACTATTATTAACAAAAGCGATGTCTGAACATTTCATAGTATACAATTATTATGACTGTACCATTTACATTCTTCTTTACAGCTGTAATATTGGCTTGTGTAAAAAAACCATTAGAAATAGAATAAAAATATTTGTTTAAACTTTAACTAATTTAATTTTGGTTTTCAGATGTTCAGTTTTATTATTGGAGTTAAACACTCGATTTATTTGGTGTTCAAACACTACAAAGAAATTATTTAATAAGTTTGTAACTGAATAATATCAATAATAATCATAATAATAATAATAGTTAAAAAAATGTATTTCAGACAAATAAAGTTTTTCAAAACTTACTATATACTTATACTCTTAAAAAAAATAACAAATCAGTGTTGCTGTTCCAATAATTTGTCATAATATTTGGAAAAACTACAATTAGTACATTTAAATATATAAGACTGAATGATTTAATCATAAATATCTTCACGGTCACACACATATTGCACAATATCTTTAGGTCTATGCAACTTTTCAGCATCTTCATCTGGTATTTCAAAACCTTTAATTTAATTTAAAATGTGTTAAATGTTTTGTGTTAAATGAAAATAATTTATATAAATACCAAATTCATCTTCTATGGCCATGATAACTTCAACATGATCTAATGAATCCAACCCAAGATCATTGATAAAATGTGATTCAAGACTAAGCTGAAATTATTAAAAATCAATAAATTTTATAATAAAATTATATCATATTGTATCTAATATTTTTTTTCCAACTAAGTAAGTGAAATATGAAAAAAATATTAGGATAGTTTTTTCTTTTTTTGTATTATCATTGATATACTGGTCACATTTCAATTGCATAGTAGGGATTCAAAAGCAGTGGAAAAATATTTTTGAAAGCAATTCATTCTCATTTTGATGTTTAAGAATGAATATTCAAATGAAGATATTCAACTCAATTAATTGTCTAGTTGTTGTTATAATACTATGCATACCTTATCTGGATTGACCTTGTCGTATAATTGTAATACCAATAGGATACGTTTTTTAATTTGTTCAATAGTCATCGGTGGCTTGACACTGTAATGCCGCCCAATCGTCTGAAAATATAATTCAAAAAAATGTACACGCCTTGCCCAGCAGTGACTTCAACACTAACTTTACACATTACACATGCTCCGACTCTACTCAGTTTTTACTTCAGACAATCGACTGGCTGCTGTCGTGTCTGAATACCATCAACCATTTTATCAACACCAGCAATTGAACCATAAATTAACAAGTTAGTCGCGCAGTGTTTCATATAATGTAAAAATTAATTCGTTCTTACCACCGGTATCCTGCATGACTGAAGATTTATGTGATTGACGTTTGTCGATTGTCTTATATATCGTTTACCTGTGCACATMGGGTAACGTCTCAGTACCTGTAAACTGGTTTTAGTGAAAAACGTACCGCACAAGACTTTCCCAAGGGACGCCATCATATCAATGTGTGCGTATAATAATGTGATGGACAGTGGTGGCTATTTTGTATTTACTCGTCCGATGTAAAACTACTAAAACCTCGAACTACGAGTATACGACATTATTATTATATTATCACAATAATAATTATTATAAATAATTATTATTTCACGTACTGCCGGGCGCCGGTTGCCATTATCTTTTCAATGCATCCTTCCTCCTGATTGGTCGTGATCATGATTATAGATGAGAATTAATAAATAAACCGTAAGTTTTGACTTGTGGTCAATTTTTGCGTAAATGTCTATCGCGGGAATGCAGACAGACCGTAGTCTGTAGACCTATAATTATATGGACGGACCACTGTTTAAGTTATTCCGGATGTAAGTATTTAAACTCATGATTGTGGGACGGACCTTTTGTCCCGATTTGAAGCACACAATATTAGCGCGCGAAAATAATCGTCGCGTGTTTATCTTATTCAACTGATATAATATTAAGATAAATTTTAAATCGGAATATCATTAATCATTCGACGGTTAAATGTGCTACGGTTCACGGTCAGCATCTAATACAGTAACTCGTCACTTGTAATATTATGTCGACAAATTTTTTATGCGATCGACTGGGCGAGATGCCGAGATGGGCTTACAATATAGTACCTATATTATTCAAGTCGTGATCACTTTAGGATCTCTTTAATTCACAACCCAAAAGGCAAAAGGTATCTCAAGAGGCCGTGCTATATATACTTATATACTATAATATCCAGATGTATATTTCAGTATTACACATTTGCACGTATTAATATTCTTTCGCTGACTTAAAAGAAAAAAACTATATATCACGGAGAAAAAATTGTACCCTCTGTAATTTGATTATTCATTTCAAATTATGTTTAATATTATATAGGTATTGTTGGGATAAATTATCGTTTATATTTTTAACGTGTTATTTATGTTAATCATATTAATTATATCAATTTTCTCGAGCCGAATCTAACTATTAACCAAGACTCTTAAAAACTAAAACAATCCAAGCCAGATTAGAGTACAGAAGAATTATTATACAATAAGTAAATTGGATGAGATTTGATTTTTGGGAGGTGGAAGTCACCCAGTGGTGGCACCCCGTAGGAGGATACACATAGATAGTGTTTTTACAGACCATAGTTGGGTACCCTATACTTTCAAGTTTGAACCTCGTTTGAACCAACGAATTTGTATCTCATCGCCGACGACAGATCTATGCTATAATTAATAATTTACCATCGTAATTCGCAAATGATATTCATAACGATTTGTATTTTAAACACAATATAAGAATAATGACGTGTGTTTATACTTTATATCAACTGTCTTCTGTCAATATTAAATGGCATTGCGGCGCACACAAAACATGCATACGAGCAGATCGCCTTAATAATTACTATCTATGGACTATGTCTAATATGGTAGTACCATAGTGGTGCACGTCACACTTGTCTAGTTTGCAATGGTTCCGAGAAAACTATACAATTTATATAATGGGTAGGAACTCGATATACATACAAATTTCCTTTGGCATACTGACTGTTTCAACATCAACCAAGACGTATGTGGAGATAGTCACTGCGCAGTGCTTATAACTTATAAGAATATAAAAATGTTTTTCTGATCAAAATATTTCTAAATATTAAACTTGACAGGAATAAGTAGACACATCAAGTAGCACCTAGCAGAAACAGTTCGATTGAATGCAACCTAAGATAGTATAGGTTGGTGGCAGTATTGTGCTAAACATTTCCCACCCGTTCTTGGTTTTTTGAACGAAAAAAAAAAGATAGTATAGGTACCTATTATATTATTCAATTTATATAAATATGAGTTTAAGTATTTATTTTCTACATTATAGATATTTTATAGCGTACAATCTGATGACTATAGCTATAGGGTTGTCAGATTTTAAAAACACCAAACTGGGACATCATATATAGAATAACTTTTTTTTCGTATAATTTGTTTATTATCATGTTCAATTGTAATTGTTGAGCTATCATAGTTTAATACTAGAAGCTAATATAAAAATAGTAAAAACTTTTTTTTTGTAGAATTATTCGGGAATTAATAATATCCCATATTTTAATTGAAAAACGTATTAACCAATACAATTTTTTACATAAACTGCATTTACTGCATTTACATTTATTAATTGTTAGTAATAACCTAATGTTCATAGTTTTCGGTTGAATGAATTGTTTTCAATGCAGCTGTATTACTTTTAATTTTTAAATAAAATTCACTACAAGTTAAACCCAAATTCTATGTATAGTATTATTCTATGTTTCATTATTAAACAAAATAATATTTATTATTAATAAAGTTATTTTCTCTTGTCTTCCATAAGCCAGGACAAAATTAATTACCGGCCGAGACACCGGGACATGCTGTAAAAACCGAAACTGTCTCGGTCAAACCGGGACGAATGGCAAGCCTAACTATAGCTATATAGGTACGTTTTATACACATTTCTGCACCTTCACGGCTACACAGACACACAGTACACTCTTATACTCTTATCGTATGTGTTGCCGTGTTGGAAATACATAAAACATTCTTAGACATTAAAGGTATTCAACCCAATTAATAATACTGCACATATATTATACGGTATACGTGTTCATAAATGAAACTATAAAAGTCAACCAGTCAGGCCAAGACCTGACATATTATACAGACGTCTGGATAACATATTATTAGATTGATAAAATTTTAAAATTTGATAAAAAAAACTTATTTTGTGATAATAATTGTGTATACCTATATATATCTTTATCAAAGTCTGGGCTGTCCTAATAAAATTGTCTTGTTTMGTCTATGCGTATATTATATTGTTGTTCTTATACTAGTTATACTGTGTTATTGTACACGGAACTGCTGTTATAAATGTGACGCAAGAGAATTTGTCGAATTATTGTGCTTACTTAGACCACAGAATAGATTAAATGCTTAGACTACTACGGCATTCATTTTTTCGACTAGATAACTCAGATCACGTCGTTATAGAGTTGATAAAATAATATTTTTTAAGGAGCTTTGGATATTGTATTAAATTATCACTACACGTGCTATATGTAGTATTCGATGCCATAATGGCATTGCCATGAATAAATAATATCTAATCTGTACTTCAGAAGTTACCATTCAACAATAATTACGAGGTGTACTACAGATGATAATAATTCAATATATTATAGTGTCTTTATACCAATATAGCCTAGGTAGGTATTTAATACAATAGGTACCTATGACGATACGTATTATATACAAATCATATATTATCTACTTGTATACATTTCCTGACTATAATATGTATCATAAATGGGTGATACATATTTATGGGTACCTATTTTAAACTTCAAAATATGTTTTCTTCAGGTACCTACTTTTGATTTCATTATTATATTGTATTATCTATAATATTTAAAAAAAATCGGCTGCATCCGAATTGGTGTTCCCATACCTGAAAATTGACATCCGAATTGGTTCCCGACATTCCAGGCAACACACATCCGAATTGGTTCCCGAATCGGGAGAGTATATCTATACTATAGAACTAACTACTAATTGCTGTGAATCATTTCACAGCAAATTCAACAGTTGCTTTTATTCTGCACATCCGAACATATTTCAATTTATGGATGTACTAAAAGAAGTTCAAATTGAAACTTATATAAAAYTKCKAAGTTCGAACAAACTACAAAACCTGAAGTCTAAAAATAAGAAAACATTTATAAAAACAGAAATGGACAAATATAAAAATAACGAAATCAGTAGATTTAATTTTTTTTTAAATGTTTGTTTATAAGTTTTTACCTCAATAATAGAAAATAATAACTATAAATAAAATGAACGAATTAAAAAAAAACGATATACCGCCTATATTTATTTTATATTTTTAAATTAAGATTTTAATTTTTTTTAAATGTTTGTTATATATTATTTATTAAGCCAACATTTTAACAACTCGGGAAATAATTCAGATATACCCTTTGTAACAACCCAGGAATCAATTCGGATATACCTTTTGAAAGAACCCGGGAACCAATTCGGACGTTTCGGAAACGAATTGCGGAAAAAAAATCCCCAGACCGCAATATTACTAACAACCTCATAAAAATGGTTGAACATATATTTTTAAACGTTAATTAACACCTACTCACAGTAAAAACATAGCATATAAAAATATTTCGAATAATTAATGCGTACAAAATATAGATAATAATAATAAAATTAAAATTAATATAATATAATTATCAAACAATAATCATTAAACGTAGGCAACCTATTCACAGTAAAAACATATAATAATATAATTGTTTGTAGTTTTTTGAAATTTTCAACAAATGTTTATATGATGTTTTCTATGTATGAATGTATGATAACATTTTCAAAATATTTTAGAGCTATTTATAAATCAAACGTTATGATTATGACTTTATATATTAGACAAAAAACTGTTGAAATTTTTAATGTAATTATAACGGAAAACAAAAATAATTAATACCAAAAATTACAAACATTTTCTAAAAATGCAAAAAATTTTCAATTTCTATAGCTAAGTATTGCAAATTTAAAACAAGGTTTCTCATAAGTGTTTGAAAAAAATCTAAAATACTCTATGGGACATACTAGGTACTCGGTATTTTTTATAGATATTTTTAGTTAAAATTATAAGGATAAAAAATATTTAAAAATCGTCGGGGGATTTTTTTCCCGATTACCTTCGGAAACAATTCGGACACTCCGAAAAAATCGATACCTACACTAACTGTAGTGTACTTAGTGTATTATATATATCTATGTCTTATGTACTATGTATACGTGTATTTATTTTGCTTCGTGTATTATTGCTTTCTCAGATTCTCAGATACCAATTGCCATATAATATACTCTGACAAAATATCATGTTTATAACAATTTATTTTCACTCAATTAATTTAAATATATTGTACAATGTACATAATACAACATGCATAATATGCTTACATAATTACTACTTGATACGAATGATGTGACTTCAGACAGTTCGTTGCCGTGAAAAAATTTAATTCTTAGTGAGATTGAATTTTCCGTGACAATTTGCGTGGCTTATTAAGCAATACAGACAAAGCATTGAGAAAATTGGATTTACATGAATACATGATACAACATTTTTATGCTTGAATTATGAAATTTCAGCCAATAAAAAAAGATTGTAGGGAGTAAACGAAGAGAGCAGAGGGTGGAGTTCCATATAGTGTTAAATAATATCATATATTTTAATACATTTAT